GATGAAATTTACGACATGGATAGGCACATAGAGCTCCTACATTATAATATTATCAAAACTGAATGCAAGGCCATGCATGCGCGTATGCTGAATTCTGATTGGCTAATACTTAAAGGGTTACATCTCTCTTATTTTTCAATGAAATTCTTTAATATTTAACACAACTGTATGTATTGTGAGACACTATTAGAAAATTAATGTGAAAAATGTAGAAAACATGTGCAAGCACATGCGCTGAAATTTGATTGGCTAATACCCATATGGCTATATCGGAGTAGTTTTCCAAAGAAATACCCTTAAAAATAAAGTGTCCATCTATATTACAAAAGTATTGTCTAATTTATTGAAGCTTGTAGAAAATGGGGCATCATAAGGGGTTGGGGAGCCGTTTGGGGAACATCTGTAACGGTTCCCGTTACAATTAGCACTAGTTAAAGTTAACAATTAAATAAAATTGTCAGCATAAAGGCAAATGTTTTCCAAGAATCTATGAAAATAGTACATGTGATTCGGACCATTTTGTAGAGGACAGACAATCATTTTCTTTTTTAAGATGGCCTTACGTGATAGCAGTTTTTTTTTATTCTTTCCCAAAGATATGCATAGTTTTTTATTTTTTTTTTAATGTTCGGTCTTTCTGATTTTTTTCCCCCCTGAAAATCTGCCCGAAACCTATAAATTTTATCCTTTTTTAAAAAAATAAACAGGGGTGAATATATCTGGAGGCACATTTTTTATTTTCATTTTTTTTTTTTTAGGAATACGTAATGCAAGCATTCGTAGATCGTCCCAGAATATAAATCTTCTACATGTTTATACATGTGCAATATATATATATATATATATATATATATATATATATATATATATATATATATATATATATATATATATATATATATATAAAGATCAAGCAACAAACAATTTTACATCAATATTTTTGAGTATTTTAAATGAATGTATTCCTGAAGATTCGGCTGTAATTCGCCCAAAAGACAAACTTTGATTCAATTCGTCTCTGCGTATAGAACTATAAAATGGATTAAGAAATCTGGCTCAAAAGTCTAAAAGAAACTCTCAACCGAGAAAAATGTTAACAATGCGGGAATAAGTTTAACAATATGACAAAAATATGCGATCAAAAATCATCATGAAAACATAGAACACCACAAAAAATTACTTCCAGACTATACTGGAAATTTTTAGGAGACTTATTTAAAGTTTAACCTACTACAGACATTCCGCCCCTACAATATACTTCTACTAATGATGATATACATGTATCTGTTGCTTTTTCAAATGAAGAAGGAATAGATGTTTTTAATGATTACTTTGCCTCTATTACATACATTTTCTCGCATGTTGACATGATTTATCTTGCATGCAGGGGGCAGACATATGCCACCATAGAATTCGATGCTATAAATGTAATGCAGTTTAACTGAATATACTTTGATTAATATGCCAGATTGACAACAAATTAAGCCAAAGGATGACTGAATTTTTTAATGCAAACTGTTAGGCCAATATTTTCATACCGTTGTTTTACGGATGACTGTTCCTACCCGATCAAAATGGCTGTGACCTGATATATTGTACCACCTCTGAATTTTCGAGGGTTCTGTGTCACCTTAGCTCTCAATTTGTTATGTTTAATAATTGGATTTTGGAGCTGCATTGCTCTTCGTTATCCTCCATTAAAACACAATCAGGAAATGAAGACATCAGTTCCTTTGATAAGTAATGGATATATGCCGAATACTGTTCTATATGTAAAATTATCAGACTGTTTGAGGCCCGTTAGGGCCGAAAACAGTCTGATAATTTTACATATAGAATTGTATGAGGCATATATCTTACTTAAAACATTGCTATTTAAATGTCCAAAAGTTACCTGGAGGAGTTCAATAATTACACAATAGGAGTTCAGGCATCAATAGTTTTCTACCTGAAACCATCTAATAAGTAGACAAAAGAAAAGAGAAAGTTTTTTTTTCTTTAGACAGTAAAATCAGTGAGTGAACTCTTTTGTTTCATTCATTCAATGGCAGCCGTTTGGCTTAGCAGGAATTATGGACAGTGGTTAGGTGATGAAGGATTTTTTTATGATTCGAAATTTTTTTTTATTAAGTGCGTTTGACATTGATAAAGATACAGTGTTGGATGATATATTCAAAATGCATTTAAAGTAAAAATGCGGATTTTTATTTTAAAATTTTGATTGGATGATATAATGAAAATCTTGTGTTTTAAAAGTGCGGTCATTGTGGCGAACAAACTTCGTTAAATGAAGAGATTCGCAGACTGGTTCTTTATCAGAAATGGATTTAAATTGGCTTAAATTTGCTGTATCGAAAATGCTTTGCAAAAAACGGAATGGAAAGTGTTACTTTTGAGGAAGGTTAAAACTCCAGTTTCTTCTTGGATTTGCTATTTTTAACAACTTAATTTCCTCGCGTTCTCTTTCCCTGAATTTTTTCTCCCTAACTTTTTTTTTTGGTTTCTGGACAAATTAAACCTTAATTTCACTCTAGTTGTTGTGTTTTAATTACTGTCTGATTTTGTTATCACTGCCGTCCGATAATATATTATTGGACTGCTAATTATTATTATCGGACGGCTACAGGTAAATTTTTAGACTGCAAGAACAAAGGCATGACGTCACAGCAATGTTTTAAGAGCCATTCTCTGTAATGACTTGAACTTTTATATAGGAGCTGTGGCACGCATAGTCTCAGAATTTCTCCAAACTCTCTATGATAAAAGTCTTTGATACCGTTAATTCAGATCAGGCAAAAACTGGTTGCTACGTGTCATGGTTACCATAGCAACATGTTGTAAAGTTTGAAAAATGGCATTTTTCAACATGTTCAGAGTCCCACAGTTAACGTTTGCAGCAAAGCAAACAAGTGGCAATGACTGTTTCTGAAAGTTGAAGGTCTGATGTCTTAAATGCATGATAAACATGTTTGGTAAATCAAATATAACATACGTTACTATGGAAACAAAGTATTCAAAAGTAATAATTTTGTTCATTTAATTTTATAAAGTCATACACTTAAGAATAAAAACAATTATAGGTTGAAATGCAAGCAAATAATAGACAAGAGATCCTTGTAACATATACCAAGGACAAAATATGATATTTCTTATAGGTTGGCAATGGTTGCCATGGTTTTAATACCATGAAGGGATTTTAAATTTACTCTCTTAGTGTTTTAATCTTATCCTATCTTTTTAAAAAGCATATTTCTATATAACTGATGATCAATTTTTAAAGGCCTAGGTGTGACCCTAATTTTCACATTTCAAAAAATTCAATTTCAGTTCTTTAAATAGTGCGTTGCTATGGAAATAAGGCGAAAAAACATGCATAAAAATCTGAGAAATACTCTGTTTCCTTGGATACGTGCCCTTGTATGTAGATTCCCAAAATTTTTATGATTGATATATGTGAACAACTAACCTGACTATCAATTTTGACTACCACCCAATCTCTAACTGGATGCAAAAAGCTGGCACATAGGGTCTAATATTGACAAAAAATTAACAAAATCGAACATTTTCTCTTCTTGGTAACCATAGCAACAGCATTGTATTTTTCAACAACCTTTATCAATATATGATATTCAACTTTAGTTCTATGAGATAAGTACTATTCAAGGTGATTCAAATAATATGTTTCTTGATTAAAAGGTTAGTAAATTCCCAAGGCAGCAAAAAAATATCACTTTAAACAACTAGTACTTTGTTTCCATGGTTACACTGCAAAGTAACAATTAATCTCAATTTTTCTTATGTTGTCGGTGTTGCAAGGTCCTAAGGATGTATATGTGCCAGTCATGAATTTTATTGTTTTTCCTCAAGATAGTAGCATTAATCCAATCATAGCAACAGATTTTGCATGGTGACACTGTGTTACCATGGCAACCATGAAAGTTATTTTTAGAATAATACTGGCAATACCTAATTACATAAGGTAAATATATTTCATTGCTTTTCTTAGGTTTTTGATTGAGTTTGATCATGTAACATCTATCATTTGTGAAAATTGAGCGTTTTTCAGCATTTTTCAGCATCTAAAATGTATTCCAAATGTACCCATGGTTCCACTTACTTAGAGATAAATTCTAAATAGTTTCTTTATAGCATAAGTGCCAACAAGGTGTCATGTTTTTGGGAGAATAGTGTGTTTGTTTTTCTTAGTCTTTATTAAGGCTTATTAAAGATTTAAAGTAGCTGAAAATCTCAATTTTTTCAACTTTTCTGGTTGTTACCATGGCAACCAAGACACATAGCAACGAAATTTTATTTGATATATGTTTCTGGTGTCAAGTTGTAATAATGGGCAAAGTTTCGTCAAAATCGATGACCATGCGTGGCAAAGAAGTTTAAGTGGTTACAGAGAATCGCTATTAATTGTTATTATTATATAATTGTTCAATAATACAGGATTTTTGCATCCTCTGGCCTTCGGCCCTCGGGCTGATATTGGAGTCTCGGGTTGATATGGGGTGTGATACAGATTTTTTTCATATATAATTCTCTATTTATTACAATTACTTATTTTCAATTCCACCATATCTCATCTGCCAATAATATAGAAGTGTATTTAAGATTTCTATTTATATTCAAAATTAGATACTATTCAGCTTTTTAAAAATTGACCTTTTTGACTAGATACATGCAATAGTTTTAAAAACGTTGCATCCGGTATGCAATACGGAAAACTGCATTACACAATTGTATCTCCTTTTGCAGCCATTATATACTTCTGTCTAACGTTTAAATATCTGATGGATCATGTTATAAATACACAGTGTTAAAAAATACCACAGGAAAGCCTCTTTTCCTTTTTTTTCAACATTTCATGTGCATTTTTTTTTTTAAACATTTTGTTGATTTGAGAGACAGGAATTTTAATGTTTTATTATTAATAAATATGTATTTCATCCATCATTATATATTGAATCAGAGGAAGATCATCTACTTTTACCTACCTATTAATGAGCTGTTCATGGAAGAAAGATCTGATAAAACCAAGTGAAGAACGTTTAGAACCACCTTCGATGTACTTTCACATACTTTCAAATTCTTCTCAAAATTCTCCATATTCTCCGATAGAAGTAAATATGTGGAAATTTGCTGAAAACCCGTCGCTGTCTCGTCCATTTGATACAGAACTTGGAAGTTTCCATTCCTCGTAAAGTTAGTAACAAGGAGTATGCAAAATAAGATATTTTGGGACGTCATCCTTTACACAATACAGTCATGCTCAGAAAACTTCCACCCAGTACAGTTCTAATATTCTCACTTCAATTTAAATGGCTGCGAATTGTAAGTTCATGTTTACAATGAAAAATTTAAAATTCCTAACATTTTGTTTATTGTTACATTGAGGATTCTTATCTGTTGATCGTGTAAATTAAGTATTCATATTGCATGTAGACGACTCTGTCCTAATAGCTGATGATTAACTTTTATAATGAATTTAAATACAAACGATGACACTTGGCGCCATTTCTTCAATTTTTGGGCTACTCTGTGATATGTATATGGGTTACCAGTTCATTCAACACACTTAAGAAGCATTTGTTTTCTTTTTTTTCGGTTACACATATATGATCACTACTGAGAAAGCTTTCGAAAATAAATCAAACTAATAACAGGCAACGTTTACAGATATCATGTCGTTGTACACATTAAAACACTACCTCACATCATGATTGTAAGTTCACCTGTCCCTCCAAATTTGCTATATTGACCTTTCTTCTTTAATAATTAATATTTATTCATAAATGAATTTACTTCATAGTAATATAATATCTTTTAGATGATTTATCCGTAGTTAGGACCAATTGTTTATCATCTAAATAACATATACAATATGATTGATTATTTGATTCATTGATTTAATGATAATTGATTGATTGATTGATTGCATGGCGGTTTAGCACCAAGTTCGTTTGAAAGTTATTAAAACGGAACAATTTCATTAAACACACAGAATTTTGTCATTGGAAATCTGGAAAACCTATTTTTCAAGGTCCTCATCTTTCTTGTGTCCAATAAAATACAGTATAATTCATTCTCATGAGGTCATTTTTAATGGTCGTTTGAAGGCGATCATATGTGATATTGACTTTTAAATGAAACGAGTTATGAAATCATTTAAAATGTTTTATATATTACATGTAACTAATGAAACCTCGATTACTTCAATAGGCATAATAATTTTTACACTAGCTATAAAACTAAATGAAATTTCAACTTTCAATACAGTGATGAGCAATGAATATGAATTTTTTTTTACTTGGTTAGTACAGTATTACCGGTTTCATTGCCGAGTAGAATGAGAAAATAACATAGTTAAACAAGTAAACATCAGCGTGTTAGTTTTCTAATTCAAATAAAATAAGGATATGCACAACTTTAATAGGAATAAACAAGTTGTAGATTACAATCACTCTTACGAAAAATCGACACTATCTTTATTTCTAATTTGAAAAGGAGGTGCATATCTTTAGTATATGTAATGTCATATTGTAATTTTTAAACTTACAAGATGGTAGTAAATACTAAACGTACAATAAGACAAGTTGTCATATTGTTATTTTCGTATTTACTACCACCCGGTAAATGCAAACATTACAGTATGACAGTAAAATCCCTGGGAAAATTTCAATTTTAAAAATGATAAAAATAGAAGTTGTTGAAGGTACAGATAACAGATACTATGAAAGTTTTGTTGTTGTTTTTTCAAAAAGCAGGAAAGATTTAACAAGGTCACCTGTACAAATTAAAAAATATTACTTAAGATTTAATCTCCGATAAAAGTGCACATTTCTTTGTGTGTATAATAACTATGCAATGTTTCAATAATTCTGAATCAAAACTGATCGAGATACAGTTTACACAAAGATAATACCAACTTAACGTGAAGGTAAATATATCAAGTTCACCAATCGAAAAAAGAACACTTTTTTAAATTAATTTAATGTATGAGGTGCTCGTCTTGACCTTGTGTGAATTATGCCAAATTTAAACCTTTGTATATGTAGTTACAAATTACACAATGTTAGTCAAGCGGCTGTATGGCACTGGTGTATATTATAAAGATTTTTTTTTTTTTTTGGTCTTTTCTTTTACGAATTTTGAGCCCTGGAAGTCCACTCTCGACATAGAAACAATCTTACATTTATAATTAATCAGTTTCATAAATGCGGAATAAAAAAATCTGGTGTCTATATCAAAATAACCCCAAATGATATACGTTATTTCCTTTTTATGTACAAATAGGTACATGTATCTGGCTATTTCAGCGTGTAAATCTATCAATAATTGGTTGAAACTTAATTCAGAAAATCAGTTTTCAATGTAATTGTTTCCAAGGTAGTTTATCTAGAAGACTGAATCTTCATTTTCTTTATCTTGCAACTGATATTAGTATGACAAAATAAAAGTCAAGTTCGTTTGAAAGTTTTTTTTTTTCTTAAAGTGTCCAGACTCTTTAACTTTGTCATGATATTTAATTTTAATTAAATTCGAGCATTCATATTCTGAAAAAGTTTTACGTGTGCTAAGTCTATACCCTTAAAAGTTAATATGCTAGCGTAGTTATCACTTCCAAATATAATGACGTTAATACGCTCACTGCTCATACTCATGAATGGGTAACTGAATTATGAGAATGCGTTTATTGCATGACGAAAATTTAGTTTTGAAAACTACTTTTAAATACTTTAAAGTCAAGCGAACCCCCACACCCACTCCCACCCCCACCCCCCTGCCGACAAATGGAATTTATAGCTACAACACGTTATATTATAAATATTTATTCAGGAATTGAATTTAAAAAAGTCATTCGAAAATGTCAAATCATCTCTTAATATTGAAGAATTATTTTTAAATATTGTAAAGTATTAAAACATATAAATTTGATCTTAAATTTTTATCCAGAGCAAGTAACGCCAGTCCTACACACTTCGCTGCGGACGTCAAAGTTAGTGTTGGGTGGACATTTCACGGCAGTTGCGTTACCCTGTTCACATCTATAGTAAGCATCACATTTTCCACTTGGATACTGGTAGTTCCCGTCAGATTTCCCGGAACAATCCGGGAGGAGGCCTATGCCATGATGGGAAACTGGAATGGCGTACCTCTGTGTACATTGACCTTTGTAGGGAAACGTCTGTGCCTGCCATAAGTTGTCCCTGGGACATGCTCCGTCAAATACAAGCCTTTCTTGGAAACAAAGAACATAATAAGGACCGGGTCGTTTGACTGGATGTTCGTTAAACCCGTCAGGTAAGCCTGCACAGCTGAAGTGATAACCCTCGCAGTTTCCCATATGTCGGTTCATGAACAGCTGAACTCTGTACTTGCCTAACCAAAATCGTTGAAAGTAACAAGTTGCAAACTGCTCAAAATACTTATAAAAATAGTAAACCTGTTTTAATTAAGATCAATCAACAAAAGAATTTATGTTAACAAAAAACTCATGAAGCATGCATAGCATACTCTCATAGATAGATAGATAGATAGATAGATAGATAGATAGATAGATAGATAGATAGATAGATAGATATAGATATAGATATATTAATAGCATATAGATAATGTTCATTTGGTGTTTTAAAAAAAATTATAAAACTAAAAAAGATTAAAGGTAACCGAGTTATTGATACTCACAATAATCCTTGACCTCTGGGCGGGAGCCACATGTGACCTTTGTAAAGTTTTCACATGTATGAGTGACGTCAGAGAATTGTTCTGGGTAAGGACATTCTGCTAAGTTGTTTGGAAACCCGTTCCACATTTTAAAGTTTGGGTTACAGTATAGCTGGCATCCTAATTCTATAGAGTGATTTCCAGCTTTGCAGCTTCTGCTCTGAGGTTCAAACACAGTTCCATTCGGACATTTGACAGCTGTAGCCACGCCCCCTTCGCAACGATAGAATGCATCACATTGTCTACCTACTCCGAAGTAATCTCCCTGCCCCATGTAGAAGCTATCATACTCAAAGCGATAATTTCCATCTGTTTTCCCCTCACAACTAGACAGAAATCCGCCATCTTTGTGGGGAACCTCAAAAGGGTTTGTGCAATTGCCGTTGTAGGGGATCTTATATATATCCCAAATATCGTCATCTTTACAAGTTCCTCTGTTAATCAAACGCTCTTGGAAACAGTTGATGTATGAGTTTGGACCTTGATATCCCTGGTGAAATCCGTCTGTTTTTCCTTTACAGCTAGGATATTCCCATTTACACGTGGAAATACTTCCAACATATGATCTATAATCACCTATTTGGTTAAGAAATATTATGATATAATTCCATTGCAATAATTAAATTAAAAAAAAAATACACCTGTAATATCAGAAATTGGCTACTTTTTTCTCACTATAAAAGTTTAATTTTTATTTATTAATTTTCCTTTCTTATTGCATACAAAATTTAATTTTCTTAATGTAACTACATGTAAATACCGAAGACATACATTTATCCTTCGTGACGTTTCTCGTGCCGCAGCACACTCTTGTGAAATTTTCACATTTGAGTGATCGTGTTGAAAAAACATCCGGATACTGGCACTCCATCAAGTGTTGTTCTAGGCTGACTGGAACTTTAGTGTACATCATAGAACAGTTGTAGTAAAGTTGACACTCACTAGGGTGTGGAAATACTAAAGATGGATCCTGACGACATGCTTCAGCTACCTTTGAAGCTGGAAACAGAACGCCTTTATACCAGTGTTTAATATAACTAATTCATATTTTTAGATAATATAATTATATTGTGTTTAAACACCTACCGTTACACATTCGTTTCCTCAAGAGTTAAACCACTTAAAAAATGTGTATCGGTGCTGTAAAATATTTTAGCCGTTTTTTTCCATCTATGATCATTTTATTCCCTTTCCCTTATTATATTCCGAAAAATAATTTAAGGAATTCGGACATTCGCAATGATATACTTAAGAGGGTTTCAACAATAAAAAAGGCAGTAAAATTACTGTCATTATCCTCTATTTATTAACGAAGTACTAAAATTGAGTAGAATGCATTTTAAAAGCATATGTCGTACCTGGCAATCCAACTAGTTTTACTAAAGAATCTGTAAGGCTCAAGTGTTCTTTATACAACGTGTCAGAAATTCCTCTTAATTTGGAAGAGAATTCCTTCATTTTCGCCACCTTCATCGGTAAATCTAAATTCAGGTGAATTTCCCCTCGACAAGGGTTGGAAATGTTCGTATCTGATTGACTACATCTTCCATCCCGAACGAGAATCAGCACAAAGAGGTAGATCCACAATTGAAGTTCATGCATAATCAAGTTATACATTAATTTGGCGGATTGATTCTTATAATCCTACTACGTGATAACGTGATTCGAGGATGGCTTGTTGTTTTTATCTTAAATAATTTCCTTACCTTGAACGTGACAATTAATGTGTGCAAATTGCACTGTTGTCAACAACGGGTTCCTGGTTACCTTTTTGTAAAGTTGAATTTTATCTTCTTAATAGTATGGGTAATTTCATGGTTTAAGAAGGTGGCGGTGGTGTTAAAAACATTTTCCGTCCATCATATTATCACTACTTATATTCCGACTATTACTAGTAATGATATATATCGTTTATTAATTTATTATTTTTTTTTAATTTTGTAAATCTATTTAGAGGAGCTCAAAATGTATTATTTCTAAAACTCTTTGTGTAATAAATATATAATTATTAAATACTTAGTAATGAATACATGTACAGGTTTTTGTATATGCGATACATTTGGTATACCTGAAGTCATAATAGCCGTATAATCTTCCCGGGCTGATAAGGATCCAGCAGGGCTGATTTTGTTCTGCAGGACTGATACTGATTCATATCACATCTCTTGTAGAGTAAACCTAAACAAAACAGTTCTTGTGATCATACATCAGATTCTATTTTTCGTTCACATTTTCTGTAAAAAAAAATTAATGTATTTAATTTTGAATCACTGAATTTGATATTAGTAAGCTAGTCAGTGATTATTTATTTATACATAAAGAAGTAAGGAAAACATAATCAGATTGTAAACAAAAAAAAAAAAAAAAAAAAACATTCGAAAAGCAACTCCATTCGTCGAATTTCGGGGAGGAGGTGCATCTCCTCTTAAATTGTTGACTGTAAACATCAATGACAGTCTTCTGTTATCATTTATATTGTTTCTTGGTAATTTAGATATATTATGTATTATTATATTTATTATTATTATTATTATAATATATATATATATATATATATATATATATATATATATATATATATATATATATATATATATATATATATATATATATATATATAACACTAAAAAAACAACAACGCTGTATATCCTAAGTGTCGGATCTACTTCTACTTAGTAGATACAAGGTCACGGATGGAAATTTATATAAAGCACTAAAAATGACTAACGACAGGAACAATAAAAAATGTCAAATTTTCGGGACGACCTGTCCCTTCCTCAGGACAAAGTGCTGGTGCCTTATCAAAAAATTTAGTCGCCAATGCAAATTTTTAGTCGGCAGGCAATTTTTCAAAGGCGCCAACTTTAAAGGTTAATAGAATATAAGGACCAATGACGTGCTTAAGAAAACTTGACATGTCCATTGCTAAAAATAATTTCCTCTTCTTTTAAATTTCTTTTCGTTTTTTCAGAAAAATTGTTAAAAATGTGAAAATTTCTTGAATTCGACAATCGCCAAGTCAATTAATAATGGTTGCCAATTTGGCGACTTATGGAAAAATTTTAGGCGCCAATCAAAAATTTTAGGCGCCATGGCGACTAAATTGGTCGCCAATTAGAGCCCTGATACATGTATATACATGTATGTATAATATATATGTGCTTTGAAATTGAAATTTTTATCTAAATATGATCTTAAAAAACAACTATTTACATTTTATTTAATATGATGTTTAATCAAATAAATCTGAATTAAATCTAGTTATCATCAATTCACAATTTAAAATATTTAACATAAGGCTACATGTATATATATTATATGACTGATGAGAAACGAAAGATAGTTAATGCACTCTCAAATGTTTTCATAAGACTTGATTTATCTATTCATTATATAACAAAACTTGCATCGCATTTTCACAATTGCAGTATATGCAGGTAAATATCAAATAGCATGCATGACTAAATGCCTTTTCCCTACCATCTCTTATGAACCAGGACATAAATTTAGATTAATCATCCTTTCCGACGCAGTCCATCGGTTGATCCCCTTTAAAATTCACTGACATGTTCATAACATAAACAATGCTACATGGTCAGTGTCAACTTCAGCGAGACTAGTCAGGTGTAAACAGTGTATATGGGTCAAGTATGAGTGAGTATTTCATTTACCTGTAGCTCAGTAAACACATGCACACTGAATCAAGATGTCGGAAGAACAGCTTCCAAAGACTAGAACAGTACTGATAGCGATTGACGGAAGTGAATACTCTAAATATGCCTTTGACTGTAAGTATACAACGAAATAAGAAGACGAATAAGAAAATTGTAAGACTTGTGTATTCAGCTAAGTGTAAATGAAATATCAACATCTGACCATCACAATAGTGATAATGTTCGAAGACAGATTTTCATTTGAAAATGTAGATTAACGTAGTCTTTAGTCAAAACCCAAAATTTCAGTTCAGACTTTGGGCGAGGATTATTAATTTGCAAGCGTGTCCAGATCTGTGCTGGTTTGCAGGTATAAATGCAGACGTATGTGCGTAAACAATAACAACAACAACAACAACAAAAAAACATGCAGTTATTATATTTTGATATTCTAAAATTTTGTTCAGTCGATTTTAAGATAACAACCCAAATTTATGTGGTAAATATTACGAAAAATGGAATTTTATTGTTGGATGGCGAGGTATACCTTCATAAGGGCGTGACGAAAGGGATTTAATTTTTGTGCTTCTTCACAAGCGATATTATTCATCATCCTGACCTATTTACCAGAATATTGATTAAGCAGTATGTTTGCTACTTATGCCGCCTCATGTACACAGAGTGTATGGCCGGTAGAAAGAGATTTGACCATCACTGTAAACAATAGGTCATCATTAAACCAGAACAATGTGAATCTACGTTTGTTTTTGCGATAGATTAAACCCGACCAGCAAGTAAGGATAAAAAGCAAACAAGAAATAATTTTTACTAAAATTTAAACGGGACAGAATCCTATGTTCTATAAAACAGTTCTGTAACCAGACTGGATTATTCACGCTAAAGCAGCATTTTTACAAAACCTGAAAGATGACACAATGTACTTTTTGACTCTCAATTTCCATATCTAAAAATACAAATTGTCTGGGTAGAACTTTTTTTTTAAATATATACAGTGATTAATTCCGTTCAGAATTTTAAAAAATACTAAGTACAGATACAAGTTTTTATCCAATGGAGCTGCCCATTTTCACTGACGTTAATGTGTCGAACCGCTTGGGGATATACATATTTACGATATGACAAAGAGAACAGCAAGCTGCGGTCATTATTTATGGTCAAGGTGCCATAAGGTAAACATACGGATGTGTTGGTAATAGTTTCTCATGCGTAAGATGTACGTTAAAAAAATTACTCGAGTTTTTCTTGATGTTCAGTCCCAATAGTACGAAAAATATTAAATATAAGATATCTTGTTATTATAAAGAAAGATCCAAATTATCAGTTAAAAGCTATGAATAAAAAATTATTTCTTCATAGCTATGAATAATAAGTTCGAAAGTATACTTTCGGAATTCAAACTAATTTATATCGGTATGACAACTTAAATGATAATTTTGAAAAACCATGCTATTATATTTTCTATTTGAAATCTACATGACATATGTTGGGGTTTTGTATTTATTTAGACAAGGACTCTTTCTATAGATTTTGGTTTAATTCATATTTTATGAAAAATCTATTAATTTTCTAAATAAGATTTTACCTCTTTTTAAACTGGATTTTTTCGGCATTAAAAATAAATTATCCTTTAATTCAACTGTTGATTTATTCTACTGAAGTATATGGAATAATAGCACTGGTATGATAATCTTCCATTTTTCTCAAGTTTTAGTTATGTTACATTTTTCTTTACATTTCTTCTTATTGCAACAGAGACAGTTTAGTGATGTCAACGAATAGTCGACTATTCGTCAAAGAAGTACATATGCGGTAAAAGAGCGATAACTCCTTTGAAAATTGAAGAAACAATTAAACCCAGTTATCTTTCTTGATAAAGTTTGAACGTCTCTATAAAATGATGACAATGAAATCAAGCGCGTGGAGGTTTTTAAAAAAGTATTTTGACAGAAATGTTGATGGAAATACTGTAAAATATACGCTCTCTGAAACCGTTTGATCCTTTTGCGGAACATCTAGCAATAAGCTATATTATTTCAAAAACAAATTCAAGCGATCGTGTTTCAGTGCTGTGTATACACTGTACTAGTACATGTAGACAGTGATTAAACAATGTAGAAAACGATCCGAAGTTTCCTAGTGAACAATTTGAAAACAAAAAACAAACAAACAAACCAAACAAACGAAAAAGCAACAATTCATCCGCAGGTAATGCTCAACCACCTCCATAGACCGTTAAAAATCTTTCTGGGGTGAATGGTCCCGAATAATCGATTGTTCGTCGACTAATGCAATCGACTATTCGAATAATGAAAATATTTATTTTGACATCCCTAAAAACATACTTCTCAATTCTTCTATTTATTCATTTCTTTAGATTAAATTATATACATAACCCTTTTTTCTTTTCTTTTTTTTTTCAGGGTACTGCAAATCCATGCATCAACCAACAGACCACGTGATAATGATACATTCTGTAGAATTCCATAACGTGATTCAAACAACTCAGTGGTATTACAGTGAGTCTAGTTAATAGTAGATAAACACTCAAGTACATTGTAATACTACAAAGAACGTGGTGAAAATCTTGTGAATTTCAAATCATGATACAAGTTAAACATCCTGTCTTATTTTGCAGCGCCCTATTCATTTGACAAGGATACCGTCAATCAGTTGTTGGAGAACGAGGCGGCGACAATCAAAAATAAATTGGAGCACTTTGCTGACATGATGCGACAGCACAATGTACGTTAATTCCTGCAAATAGTGGGTTAAACTAATGAGAAAATACATTGTACCTTTTAGGTAACAAACTGAATGTTTGCAAATACAAGTACATTATCAAAATTTTATTTAATGCCACAGAAATTTGAATAGATTCTTCATAAACTGATACATGTGTACATGATGTTAACCTATCTCGTGTACTGAATTTCAGAACCGACTGTAAAGTTCAGTACACTCATTGAATCAAGCATGTTTATTTTAAAATCATTTAATATCTTTATAATGTATGTATTGAATCAAACACTTCAACATGTAGATAAATGGTACTGTGAAAAGCATTCACGCTAATAAACCAGGAGAGGGCATCGTCAGTGCTGCGAGAGAGAACAATGCTGACGTCATCATCACTGGGTCACGTGGTACAGGTAAACTGAGAAGGACTTTCCTTGGTAGTGTCAGTGATTATGTATTACATCATTCAGATGTTCCCGTCATCGTATGTCGTCATCCTGATCATCACCATCACCATGGAGACCATAATCATGGTCAAATTAATGACAAATAGGAATTATAGTAAAGCCATAGAGATTTATAATCATACATGATTTTCTTCGATGTTGTATAAAACTTGAGTATTTAGACAGACATGCTTGTGAATCATGCACGCAGAAAGATTTCCGTGCATAAACATACATGCGACTTGAGAGCAATTACATAATTATATATATATATATTTTTTTTTTTTTTGCTCATGAACATGTTTCTCTGTTTTAAATCTTATTTAATTTATTATTTTGGCTTTAATAATGTGCTGAATAAAGTCTCATTTTATTTCAAAGGATTCAAATAAAATGATTCTAATAATTCTAATAGTTTAAATTTCAATACATTTGTATTTGTATTTCATACATACATGTAGTTTCTAGAAAAATAAAAACAATTAAAATGTTAAACTGATATTAAGTGGATTTTATTTCAATAAATTTAGATAAAGCATGTGCATATTTGTGCTTTAAGTAGATGGTTTTCAACCGGAAGCGGCAATATTCGCCGCCTCGTTATTTTTCTTCTTCTCAATCTCTAGCGTCTTCTTTGATTTACATATGTAACGTTTTTCGGCTGTTGCCATGTCTACGATACTATTGCCGTCTGAGATCTCGTTAATGACCTTGAGATAGCATGAGTGATAAACTGGACATCGACATTCCTGTAAAAATATATAATGAAATATCAACTTCAATATTTACACAAAATAAACTTTTGTTATTTGACTGCTGTCGTAACGAATTTGCTTTCTTTTTTATGATACTTTCAAAGTACATCTTTTTTTAATTGAAAAGTATTCTTAAGAAAAACAATTGTTTGTTTTTACGTTATTTTATACATAATTTAATGAAATATTTACATTTCTTTTGTTTATGTTTTAAGATTTTTCTTTTCCTTTTTATTGTTCCCTTTCCGATCTGATAAAAGAAAATCAAGCTACGAATATTGACCTTTTCTTAATAATATTTCATTCTAAAAGTACAATACAAGCATGGATGAATCTTTAACAAAACATATTAAGCATTTTGGATGAAACAATATCATTTGCACTTGATAAAACATAAATTTAAACATTCATTACTTGATATATTGTAGATAATAAAAACGAAATGATTACTTTAGCGGAAAACGATGACTCTGTTTTATAAGAAGTAGAAAATGTTAATTTTGAAGGGAAAACTTCACTATAAAATAAAATCGTTCCATTTATGAACATCGTTAATTCGTGCCTAAAAAGAGAAAGAAAGATGAACACTTTAAATTGTATTTAATTTTTTATCAAACAAAGCATATACATGTACATGTATAAATATTATTAGTGACTCACCGCCTCAAATACAATTCTGTCTTCATTTGCTTCCATATTTTGTGGATCAACACATCTCATATTCTCCATGTATCTATCGATAATGGTGCACTGAAAAAAAAAAATCAACTTGCTGTCTTCACAGTTCCATTTATTATGCTGTTGATAATATTATTACCTAACTTTGAACCAGTACTTTTGACTGTAAATTACGACAAGTTGAAGCATAACGTTGTTTATATGTACCTCGCCTATAGCTTTAGATTTTGCTTCCTTAGAACTGTACATGTATATAAAATGTATTAAATCTGCTTATAGTTTTCTCAACTTATTGAAAAGATCTCAAGATTTATTGAATTTAAAGTTATATGTATTTACACTTAGTTATCAAGAAACCATTAATCAATGTTTAATTGATGAAAGAATTAAATTAATATAGCACATTTCAAATCCTTTTCCCCCATTTATATGATACAGAGTAGATGTTACACAGTAAACCTCTTCAATCAATCAAAAATAATTCCAAAGTGGATTTTTTTTTTTTTTTTATAATAAAGTACTTTTAAAAATCTATTTCTTAAAAAAAAAATTGTGAAGTAACATCATTTATATGTTTAGATGGGGAATCGAATCTAATGATCAACTCCATTTACCAAAATATCATCGTAACTAAGCAATGAGTTGATTTCCTTTGTCTAAATTCATGAACATTCAATCAAAGGTAACACATGTATAAATACAGAAATCCTTCATGAATTATCATCTCTTATATGTTATTGCAGTAAAGAGTCTTCCTAACTTCAATATATCGACAAACACTGCTGAATGTTTCCTCAGTGTTGACACAGGTATTGCAAGATTTGTCTTTCTATCTACATTTCAAATACATTACACAGCTGTCTTAAATTTCTCTGTGGACATATTGACAGTTGATGATTAATCATTAGCAAAGATTAATAAAATGAATGTTTGTAATGTCCTTAAATCGAATTTTCGTCGACGCATCTATTGGGTACTAGTATATTACATGTACATGTACCATCCATACACGTACTTTTAAACAAGAACATGGTTGGAATTGTTGGGCCTTCCCTACCCCTAAAACTTTTGAAAAAGAGTACATACATGTACTTAAAGTGTGACTGATTTACTATTTATAAGTATTCTGATTTTTAACAAAATCATAATTGTAAAAAAATAACGCAACATCAGTTCCGTAAGGTGCTGAAATAGCAATTGCATTTTTAATAAATAAATTTTATATTTACAATTGCATCGAGAGGAACCTTTAATGTAATTTCAATATAATTTCAAAAATTTAATTTCGCAGACATTTTTTCTCTTTGTATATAGCTTTGGTATCTATCATTATTATCAAGATGTCAAAGTTGAAGATCGTAGCCTTTCAAATTTCAAAGAAATGTTGTAAAGATCTTTCATAATTCTAATATTTTTTTCTTTCTTTATTAATTTAAGGTTTATATGAGAACGTGTGAAAAAGTGCGCGTCCACAAGAAAATCCATAGTATTCTACATGTATTAAACATGAAAGGCACAACACAAAATGATATTCTATTAATATTGTAAATCTCAAAATGAATATGTTTGAGGGAAGAGAAAGGAAAAAGCTCATGCTGTATATGACCAATTTTTTGCAAGACCTTATTTTTGCAAGATAGTTATTTATTTTTGATAGGAGAGACAAAATTTTCACGAATTTTGTTATTGCTGTACTTAATATATTTTTAACAGAAAATTACATCATACCGATAGGCTATATCTTAGCTGCTTAAATTTCCTTTGTCTTAACATATGGTCGCATACAATATATAAAATAATAATAGTTAAAAAAAAATCCCAAATTGTTAAACTGTTTGAAAAAAGTTTGTCTTTTGTTTCTTCTCATACATTTCTCTTTTATTTTCCAATCAATTCAATCAACTTTAATATATTTATAAATTTGACTTTGGTTTAATAATTAATACTTTGACTAAGTAATAATGAAAACTTATAAACAGTTCCTTTTAGTCGGTGGTTAGAGAGCGTAAACGGTGAAAAAATTCTAACAAACTTACACAAAATGAAATCAAAATAAAATTGAGAAAGTACATCTATATACATAAATTTGAATTAATTTCACTCTTACTATGGGTCCATTGGGAGTTTAAACGTACATGTTGGTGTTATATATTTCTAATGCCTAATTTCGTGACTGCGCCGGGTACCCTTACCATTGACGCATTAATATACCATTAAAAAGATGTAATGAAATATTCATAACATACCCTGGTATTTCTTGCTTTTGTTAATTCTTAATGTTGATCATTTGGGTTGTATATGTCGATAAAAATCAACAACAAAATTTTAAAATACATGTATATAGATTATGTAATTTTATTCAGCTGTATTTTGCTTCATGTACTTCATGATTATGCCTATTTCAGTACTATGACAAACGAAATGACTTTTCCGTCGTCAATTTTCTTATTTATGTTGCAATTTCACTTGCATATGGTGTTGACGTCTCACAGCTTATTCTATACTCAAGAGTACGATCAATTTTTAAACCGAGACAGGCTACTAACAGATAAAATGATGTTACAGGGACTTCAACAGCATCATTTAAAGTCAGCATTTCCTAAATTCTGTGGTCGTTATAATAACCGTGTTAAATATAACCTATCATAGAGTCGTAATTTGGCTGACGTGTTTCATATCAATTGTTATAGGATTTTGTTTTTGTACTAAATTTGACTACGGAACGTTCCGTCTACTTATTCAATACATACACGTGTAGGGTTGACGGCGAGTGTGACTGGTCAACAGTGGATGCTTACTCCTCCTAGCCATCTGATCCCACCTCTAGAATTTCCGGGGGTTCGTGCCTTATGTCCTGTTCACAGATGTGTATTGTTTGTAGATTTTTTGAGATCAATCTCTGTTCCGTTATCTTCATCTTTTTAATGTATAGGAATGAAATAGGAGATAACGAACAGTATTCAAGCTCAAAAGGAAAGGATTAACCCAAATGCCCCGTATGGTGAATTGTTAAGATAACGAATTGTTATGAAGCTCAAAAATCCACTTAAAAATCAAATTTGCAAAAGAGCAAACACGGACTCCTGGAGACTCCATAGGTGGAATCAAAGTGTCCTGGAGGAGTACACTTCGTATATCGACCGGTCACGCCCGTTACAAGCCCTTTACCGTATCAGTATAAAATCATGCAATTTTCTCCGAATCTCCGGATAGCTATAGTTTGTTTTTAATCCTAAAATATATTTTTTTTTTTGATCAATTTTCAATTAGAAAATGCATAGCAGGAGTTTTATTCGCGTTTCCAGCAAAATGAGATTTGACAATTTTTCCTATATAATATGAATAATTATAATGTTGAACTTTATAGAAATGCCATGGTTAAATACACATTGCTTTGTGAAGCATTTTCAGTAACTTAAATGCTGAGTTTCAGAACCTGAGGATCGGGCAACCTCAAACGAAATTGTTTATACTGATGTAACATCCGAGTATTTGATAGTATATTGTGAGGGTTAAAAATCGGTCGTACGCAGAATTTGCTCTTGCGTATCGAATCAACTGGCAGACAATAACTCCATATGCATGTGAAAATGGTTTTTAGCTACATAAATAAGGGAATTTGATGATAGAAAAGCCGAAGTCATCACGTTTATCATAAAGTTTAGTTGTTACTTTACCATCAATGTCTACTAGTATCTCTGGAAAAATATCCAAATATGACTCTTTGGTGTTTTTTAAATTCCAAATTCTGTAGAATATATCAAATCAACAAATGAATGAAAATGAATACTGTTGATGAAACACCGTTGATACATGTATATATAAATTTCGAATTGAAGGCCACAGCTAGACTTCTTAGTAAGCCTTTGTTCAGTGTATTCATAAGAGAAACAGACCTCATTCACTGTGTAATTTTTAGCTAATTTTCTGAGAACAAAAATTATATGAAATTAGCATCTTATTTCGACAAATAAAGGAAGATATCAACCGTTGGAAAACTGATATTTTTGTTCGGGGTTAATGCCTGGCGAGGGAGTCTATACCTTTATTTATGAGAATAAATATATATTGATAATTTCTAGCACAAAGGTAACAGGTGCGCAGGGCAACTCTCAATAATTGTGTACTGCAACATATTGATGTATAGTTAACTTCGTGAATTTCGGGGGGTTTATGGGTTCAACTGCAAATTCGTGCCGAGGATTAGCTCTGCTTTTGAAAAAAAAAAATGATTTTCTTCAATTTTTTTTAAAATAATAATTCCCCATTCATTGCTGTTCATAGAAAATAATTATAATTAAAAAAAAACAACCTTTTTTGAAATCAAGAATCTTTTAATTCTAAAATACATCATCTACGGAGTAGTAGAAAAATGAAAATATACACGACACCTGTTAGGTACAGTAACTGACAATAACATTCTTACATTATTTGACAGATACCCGACAAAAAATCTTCATTTTCCTTCTTATTCATGGGGTATAATTATGTTAAACTCTGACTGAAAATAATTGGCAATTATAACAACGCTTAAAAAAATGCGAGTCAAACTTTACCTTTTACCAGTAGGAGAACGAAAAATGTTAGTGTAATAATGTTCATCTCTAAACTATAAATCGTCTGCATTTGTCCTATTTATTTTAGTTAATCTTGATACAATGTATAATATGCATATTAGATATTTTTAGAAAAGGTAGTCAAGACTATATTCTTTAAATAATAATTAATAATAATTATACCAAAACAACTTTGACTTTTAAAGGACGAAATTAACTTACTGTTGGTAAAACTTTTTCCATGTCTGAGTCAAAAGAAGAATGGACGATAGGACAAAATATTCCTAGCATCAGAAACCATGCTGAGACCTCCATGACTGTGAAGAGTTCTTTATTACGGTTAAAGTTGAATATGCACAGAGATGAAAATTGCGCATGCAGATCCTAGACATTGGGAATTTAATCCACCTGTGTGTAGGAGGTGGAGCGATATTCATAGAAAGCTCCACCTCTTGTTGTGTTATGTTGCTGAGGCTTTTGTGCGATAACCAGAGATTAAATTAATCTATGTATCAAATATCAATTTTCCACTATCATGTTAGTGGTGAAGAAATAAACCGAATGTAAATTTAGAATTTATAATGATCTTGCAACTTTTAAAAATTTAATATAAAGTTCTTCTAACCTCAAGTCTCTGAGACATATTAGGTTGTTTTAAAAGATGATTGACAGAATGATATTTCATTACTTGTTAAAAGTGTAATGGAATTTAAGTTGGTTCATTAATTTTTTCCTTCAGAGATGACTGTCCTTCGCAGTCAAAGTTCTCTACACGCTCAGAATGTGATTATTGATTAAAATTCACGTTCGATTATTAATTAGAGCTAACTTTATATATGACGTGACGTCAAGAGGGCCATATTGCACCATGTAACACTCTACTCGGTGTACAAATCAATTGAAAAAGACAGATTACACAGTAGGACACCCCAATTCTTTTATTTACCTCCATTTATTTTCGTACCGTTTTTAATTCATAGAGTTTGTATTTCCCTATTTCTTCATCAGAGGTGAATTACTGTCAGCAGCTGTTGTGTATGTAATATACAATGAAGGAAAACATGTATGTCAACAAAGTATAAAAACAAACCGAAACGGCTCACTTTGTGCTCTACTTTTTGGTGGCGGTGATATACATGTACGAAAATTTGAGCTGTGTCGTTTATTGACACATCATTTTCCATAAATAATTCTTGAAGTAATAATTATAAAATGAAAAAAAATTGTTTTATGAAATTTTAAATTTTGGGTGTTACTGCTTCCATAATATTACTGCTTCCATTCAATTCACGGACGTCTTGGCCAAACCCTCAACAAAACGTGGTTATAACTTGCAAAAGTATATCAGATACATGTGCTTTTATTCATATTTGCCAAAGCAATAAAACATAACAATGGTATACATGTACATCTACATTGTATGTACCATGCAGATAATGTACATCGCATTAATGTAATGTTGATCATCGTCATTTTACTAAATTAAAAAAAAAAAAAGATATTTTCAAAAAAGGTTGAAATTCATGGACATAATTTATTTCCATAAAAATAGTTTTCTTTCATAGCAATAGTAAGATATTATCAAATTAAACCGTGTCACACATGGTACTTGTGTATTACTTCCAACATGGTGCAAGGATATGTCGATTTACTTCTGCAACAGGTAACATATCTCCTTTCCAAGGTCTAGGTACAAAAAAAAAAAATATTGAACGTATATTTTCTAATATTTTGATAGCTATTGATTAAACTTCATTTAAATTAATACCAGTAAAAAAAGCTTCTATTGACTATTGAACCCTTTTAAAATTAACCTTTAATCGAAGTGAAAATTTGAATTCTAGCATTATTATGAAACAAAATCAGAGTAGAAGGGCAAAGACGTTGCTTACTTGTAATACATCCTCGGGGCATCCCGTATATTCACCGGTTGAAATACCTAAAGATCAATAGTTTCTATCAAGTGTTTGTATGTTTTTTTTTATGATTTTTCAATTTCAAAGAAATTACCAATATTGTTGTACAAAAATATATCAAAAGGCAATAACATGTATTTAAGAAAAAAGAGGCATACCAAACTTTGAAGTTTTCCCCTTAAGAGGAAACACCGATAGTGATAAAAACAATTTTCAGATAGGCTTTGAAAAAATCCATTTTAAAAAGAACAAGGATACTTACAGGTGTTGAATAATTAACTGGAGTAGGAAATGTAAATTTTTTGGAGGAAGATATTTTCTTTACATTTGGTGAATTTTCTGTAATTGTAACTGATTTATTTCTGCGTAATTCGGATTCCTTCGCACTATTTTTGGTGGATGACCTCGATATATTTTCTTTGTTTTCTTTATCATAATGTGGTTTCTGTGGCTTTGGTGGCTTGGAACTTTCTAGATCTTGTATTGTTGTTGATGTTGTATTTAATTTTGCCCCTGTCAGGCGCGTTAGTGGTGCTGAATGGTACCGCTTGTTTAGCTTTGCGTGTGACTCAGCATGCGCAGTTCCGGAAACTAATGCAGTCTCATTTAGACGCTTGACGCCTGCTGAAACAACTCGCCGTCTCTCCATTTCTGTAATGTCGGCCTGTTTCTTCCGCTCACGTTCTAATTGTTCTGCATATAAACGAGTCATGTATCAAATTCATTCTTTTCATACTCTATAGACTAGATTCAATTGCTTCATTAAATACTGGTACAACTATAAACCTTAAATTCATCTACTCATCAATTATTTGGATAAATAAGGCAAAAATGCTTTAAAATTATGCAGTTTTTCTTTACTTAATTAAACGCCTCCTATTGGAAAATATTTTCTTCCAAACCTATTCCCATTATATCATGTAACTGAACTAGTAATAATTCAACATAAAGAAAATATCAATCTTTATTCAAATTTCATTTCGTCCTTCACTGTGCCAAGCAAAACTGATTATATAAGTATGTACAATGTATATTACAAGAATACGTACCAAAGAATGCATTCGCTGTTTTCGGTCGACTTATATGTTTCCGGATTGCCTCTCCGTAGTCTTTTCGTCTCCTTGTTGCCATTTTGTCAAATTCTTTACATGGCGTCCCACACTTAAAGGGCTCAACAGATATTCTGTCTGGTGCAGAAACTGGCCTCTGTTTTAGTGTGCTTTGTGCTGGTTCTTTTTGTGACTCTTTACAAAAAAAAAAGTAATAATTCGTGATTGTCGCTTAACTGGTAAATATATAATAACACTTTGACCAAATATGGGTTGCATATCAAGAAACCATTATCCCCACTTCGAGTGAAACAAGTACATATAATACTTACTGAAACAACTTGCACAGTCTCTATTTATCTTATAGTAAGTTAACTTTAAAAAATAGTTTGTATATTTTTTATTGATTCTATGTTGTTTTATATCTTGTTTTACAGTAAATGAATTTTTTAAATACATTTGATGAAATGAAAATATCTTGAATGAATTGGACACAGTCAAATGTACCGACCTGCTAATTGTTTCTTGCTGGGTTTGTTTGGCGTAAGGTCAATTTGAACAACAGTGTGTGGTACACACAGTGTAAACAGATATCTGCAAAAATTAAACAGGAAAACTTGAGGTCAAAGACGTTAATTATTGAGAAAGTGTATGTTATGTACTTACACGTTTGTATATTATCATATAAGCTGATGTAATTTGCATGCTTTCAAAAACCGGATTTGCAATTGTTGATCATTATTATAAAATCGACTGGGGAAAAAAAAATACTTGTCATAAAATTCCATAATGCATGGATGTCTGAAATTTGAAACTGTGGCACAGCTGTCATTTTCGGATTTCATTGCGTCCACCTATTCAAATATACAATAAATACATTCTCGTTAAAGAGTCATAACATAAAGTGAGAAAAAATACTTACAAAACTCATGATACAATATATTTGTGGTTAAAATTCAAATATAGTAAATCTATCATAATGAATTAAAAAAATAAAAGAATTAGCGTAATATTGTTAAATTAAACGTGATTTCAATTTATCAACTTATCAAGGCTTGATAATTAACATGTAATAATAATAAAAAAAACATTGCAAAATTTTGAAGCAGATTAAATAGAATTTTTTCAACAAAGTCAAAATCCCTCTGAGATGTACAAATAAAACATTGATATCGTAACTCACAGGCATCTATTAGCGACATAAGGTAACTTGATACGTCTTCACACACACCTTATAAATATCATCTTGACATTTTTCCCGCTACAGTTTTTAAATAATTATAGCTGGAGTAATGTTCAAATAAGTAAAGGTTAATACAGGTAAGTTAAAAAAAATCATACATTAAATTTGGAGAACGAAGACATGTTAAGGAAAAAACATTTCAACGGGAAGGCAAGTAGGAGTTGTCTCGCATACAATTTAAAAATGACCAGTCCACAGGCATGTAATCGTATTGGTAGGTGCAGCTGAATGACACAGTTGTTTTCATATGTGATTTACAAATGGACATTACATACAATTACGTTAAAGAACTTTGCAATATGGTTCAGTAGTGCTTGCTTATGTACCTCGGAAAATACTAGGTACCATCAACGTAGAAAAACGTTGTTGCTTTTGTTTCCATTAAAATGTGTTTCTTATCAGATGAAAGTTCAAAATATTCCGTGAAACTTACGTAGTTTCTAAAGTAAAATGAATTTTATATAAAACATAATATACATTCTAATATCAATCACAAAGTCTGACAAAGCACGTCCCGTTCAAAACAAAGCCTCTACATTTAATAATTGTCTACAGAATAAACAATTTATTTACACACTCTTTTTAGCTTCTGAGAACAGCTACTTATTAAAACTTTCTTTTTAATTGTGTTATGATATAAAATGATAAGATATAAAAAGTTTCTTTTTTGACTCCTGAAAACAAATAAAAAGCATGATGTACCTTGTATTTTAAAAATAATTACTTTCTTGTACTACCAGTATATGTAAAATTAAATAATAATAATAATAATAATAATAATAATAATAATAATAAAGGAAATTCTGTGAAAAAGAAATTGAAATAACAATCTTGAGTGGTAACAAGAGCTTACACATGCTAGCAGCCAAGATCTTTCTTAGATTAGTATAAAAACAACACACTCCAAACACAACGTAAATATGATGTGAGATACCTTCTGGACCACGGCAAGTAAACTTGAAAATTGTGAAACCTTCATTCCAAATCGAAAAGAAATCAAAACAGATTATCATTACAATTGTATATTTGTCCACCACATAAAAAACGTCAAAATCCCTGAAAAAAGCGTACTCCTTTCCTACAAATTTGTAATATACATGTACTTATAATCTATATTACCGTCATCTGTAAATCGTCAACCTATAATTTATTGATCATCATTTTTTTCATAAAACTGTAATAGACGTTGGATATGATTTCTTTGTACATGTAGATAAAACATTTCTTAACTAATTTAACAAAATCTAAAAATTCTTGAGCTCATTCAAGTTGAAGGTCATTGTAATTGTAAGCATGGGCTTATACCCAACATATAAATCTAACATGCTAAATAAATAGTATAGAAGAGTTCTAGTGAAATCTCCAATATTATAGAGATTAATCTTTTCTGGTGTATAATTTCGCTTTTTTTCAGTTGTTACCTGATCGCAGTTGTTTAAATTCGCAAAAATATACATGGAAATTTCTTGATTATATAATTCCTTTTTAACATTTAGTATATAGCGAAAAATTAACTTACAGCCCATACACTTTATTATATTAATTAATTTTCCAATAACTACAAAGAGAAACTATGGGAACATTTATTCTAACATTGTAAATACTATTTCTATAGGATAATAGATATCATTAATACTATTCTAAAAAAAATAATATTTTTTTTTTTACCAATGGCTTTGTAAGTGCTGATCGCAACATCAAAGAACAAAGGTGGCCTGGTTTTAGCTTTAGTGCAAGCTCAACATCCTTTAAAGCCTGTGAGAGAGGAAACAAGAGGCCCATGGGCCACATCGCTCACCTGAGCACATTGGCTAGGAAAAAGCACAAATCACTTCAGTATTGAAAAGTTTAGGGGGGGGGGGGTCTTGGATTTTGAACTTCCTGAGGATGCTTCCATATCAATATAACAAATAGCTTTGCTGTTCTTGAGCAGAAGATTTTTGAAGATTTTTTTCCCATATATTCCCTTGTTAAAAATTTGATCCCCCATTGTGGACCCTCCCTACCCCCCCCCCCCCCCCAATCATTTGAACAAACTTGAATCTACACTACCTGAGGATGATTCCATATCAATATGACTAAACATGGCTTTTCTGTTGTTGAAAAGATTTTTTCCTATATATTCCTATGTAAAAATTTGATCCCACATTGTGGCCCCACCCTACCCCTGGAGGTTATGATTTGAACAAACTTGAATCTACACTACCTGAAGATACTTCCATATCAATATGACAAAACATGGCTTTGCTGTTCTTGAGAAGAAGATTTTTAAAGTTTTTTCCTATATATTCCTATGTAAAACTTTGATCCCCCATTGTGGCCCCACCCTAACCCCCTGGGGGTCATGATTTGAACAAATTTGAATCTACACTACCTGAGGATTATTCCATATCAATATGACTAACATTGGCCTAGTTGTTCTTGAGGAGAAGATTTTTAAAGATTTATTCCTATATATTCCTATGAAAAACTTTGATCCCCCATTGTGGCCCCACCCTTCCCCAGGGGGTCATGATTTAAACAAACTTGAATATACACTATGTACATGTAATGAAGGTCTCACATAAGTTTCAACTTTTACAGTCCAGTGGTTCTTGAGAAGAAGATTTTTAAAAGATACAACCAAATTTTCACTAATGCTTAATTATCTCCCCTTGAAAGAGGGTGTGGCCCTTCATTTGAACAAACTTGAATCCCCTTTACCCAAGGATGCTTTGTGGCAAGTTTGGTTGAAATTGGCCCAGTGGTTCTGGAGAAGAAGTCGAAAATGTGAAAAGTTTACAGACGGACGGACAGACACACAGCTAGACAGACGGAAGACGGACAAAATGTGATCAGAAAAGCTCACTTGAGCCTTCGGCTCAGGTGAGCTAAAAACGTGAAAATGTTTTACAGTGTTAATTCAAATATTTTATTTTCTTTTTTTCTCTTTGTAATCGAAGTCATTGCAGGAAGTTAAGTATATTTTGATAGAATTTATTTTCAGTTATTAATAATCTTGTTTTGATTCAAATGTCATGTCATGTATCTTACCGCTCCTTCGTTGTCATCTGAACTCTTTGTTAAAGCTCGGATACAGTATACATCCTTAAATGAAATAATGATTCAATATAGTAACCTCCCAAATCTGTAGTTTGCGAAAAGAGATAGTAACATAGAAATGCTTCATAAATACTTATTGCACTCTAAAACAAATATTCTAAACTACATGCACAACGGAAAGGTATAAAAGAGTATTTAATCCATTTGAAAAAAAAAAGAAAGATTAGAGTGAAACCCAGTTCTAAGCTTCCTTTCAGGGTGGTCTTCATAACTCACAATGACATCGTCAAAAAAGTGTTTGGAAGTAGAGTATTATAATTTTAATTTCAATAATCCTTGTAAATAGATAGACATTATATGTTTACCGTATTTTCGTACTTTATTGCAATCTACTTTCTGCTTAAGACACAGAAAGGAGTTTACTTGTTAGCAAAAGTTACTTACAAGAACAGCACTAGTGTATTTTATACACCTGGTTTAACAGTATGTCTTTCTTAAGATTAATAACCCAAAACTGAGTTTTAATCTTTAATAAGTAACCCAGGTATCATCTAGAGGAGTGTATCAAAATATACTACTCATACTTTTGACACAAACGAATACTTGCCATTAATTCTGGTGCTATCTAGTATGCCAGATATGGAGTCATTGTATACAGAGATACCTAGAACATTCATCACTTACTGGATTTTTACTGTCCAGCACCACCGCCTTCTCGGCGTCTTTCATTGCACTTTTCATATCACCTAAAATGTATTTGAAGTCAGAAAAGTCTAGATTCTTTTGTGATACTTCAATTGATAAACTTTATTTTTATTAGGCGATCTTTCCTTTTATTCAAGTTTAATTCTTTAGAGGTTCTGTGAAAAAGATTTTACATCTAAAAATGAATTTAAAAAAAATAAAACGTCTCTCTAGAGTACTTTCCAAACAAAATGAATGCAGATTCGTTGTATACAGTGATATATTTCTTTTACCTATTCGAACATATGCAAAAGCTCTTCTTGCGTATAATGGCGTCATCAGACAGGAATTGGTGACACATCCAGCCAAACAACCATTCTAAAATTATGAGACTAATAATACATATAAGAAACTATTATTTCTTTTCATTTTCTGAATCATTTGTATGTTTAGTAGCTGCAGATCCGTAGCTCTCTGGTCTGGAAAAAATTGGGATGGATGACCAGAGAGCTATAGTGCCTCCATTGAAAAAAGTATCTAAGCTTATTCATACTCCCTTTTGGGTTATAAGACAATGATCCAACCCGCCCCGTGCATGACTTAATTGTGCATGCAGTTTTGTTGTGGATGTAGTAAAAGAATATGTTAGGAACACACGGTCAGTAATACATGAATTTTGAAATATACGGTGAAATAAACAGCGCACTTTTTTGTGCGCTAAAATGTACACTTTTTTTCAATAGGTGACACTGTTAGCTCTCTGGTCGTCCATCTCAATATTTTTTCAGACCAGCGAGCTACAGATCTGCAGCTATATGTTTTGGAGACACTATTTATTCAAAAAATTATTATCGTCAAGAGAGATCACTATACCTTAAGAATAGACACTGTGTTGATGGCGTTTGTGTAAGCTTCTGATGCTCTTTTATGATCGCCTATGTGTTGATAGGCGACTCCAATGTGATAATATGTCTCATACATCTGCAATACAATAATTTTTTGCATATGATTAATACTTAAACATTGTTGCTGTTTTTACAACATAGTTAGTTTTATAACAACCGCTAAGATCTGGAGGTTGAAGCACCTGCACATAGCCCTCTGTTTTGTTGATAGAATTAAGTGAAACACGAAGAGCTTTATATCCGGGATAGTAATACATGTATATAACAAAGTGATTTGGTCAAGTTTAATTTATTCTAAACACACACAGAGACGTTGAAACATAAGTTATCTACATACCAGCATGTTGTATAGGGCTGGTGGCTCGTAATCATCCGGGAGATTCTTCAAGTCGATCATCCAAAGAACCAGGTTATAAGTCTCTATCACCTTCAATTAAAAAAAAAGTTCTGCTTCGTAAGAAATTAATATGTATGCTTTTGAAGTTCAAAAAAAAAGCTTAAGTATTTTAGGATTAATGCAAAACTTGCAAAGTTCTGATAAAAATCAAATATAGTATAGGTTCTTTTTTTTTCATGATGAAAATCATTTTTAACAAAGACACTTTAAATAGCTGTTGGAACCGAAATGATCGTTATGCACTGACCAAGTCAAAATTAATCTTCATAGGCGTCGGAACCGGGGGGGGGGGAGGGGGCTTAGCCCCCCCCCCCCCCACTTTTTTGGCAAAGATAGATATAATATAGGCATTGAAAATTGAGGCTTACCTTTTTTCGCTGGTTTAGCCCCCCCCTTTCAATTAGCCCCCCCCTTTCAATTTGCTTCCGACGCCTTTGATCATGGAACAGGAGAACATTACCTAAATTAACCCCACATTTCAACCATCTTTAGCAACTGATTTTGAGGTCGGATAAAATTACTTGTGTTTTGAATTTGTTTTTTAACATATTTAATATATTTATCAACATATTCGATTATTTGATTTTCACAATAACACCAGGTAATAATGAACACTGTCTAGGCATGCTGATGGGTCGTATGGCTTAAAATTATTTTATAGAGAATTAAAGTACATTTAATTATTCATTTATATATCAGTTCTAAATTCTATATATCTTCCAGGTTATGTAAAAATGAAAAGACTATATCTGTAAAAAGACTCTCTTTCCCGGGTTTACTTGGGTAGAGATAACAGGATGACGTGTGTTTCAGCCATAATTAATTAAATCTTACAGGTATTAACGATTTAAATCAACCCGTCGACATCTTTATCGTGTATGTGCTAAAATCTTTAAGTTCAGTTTTCCTTATCTTACAAGGTAACAAAGGAATATAACAAACTCGGGTTTACCCAGGTATTTCTTGCATTAAAGACTCACTGATACGCAACAAGGCATAATGTTAATTTTGATTAATTAACAGCAAAAGTTTTTTTTTTTTATGTGTGTGTTAGGTTCTATTTTAAGATTTTATTGTCCAATTTCAGAGTTTATCTCTAGGTTTTCACGGTGCATATTTTTAAGAGCCCTTTTTTTAATTAGTTCTTCGTGGTTTTGTCCTCATATTAACTCTGATGACGTGTTCAAAATTTAATTCTTTAAATTTTTAAACAAAAGTTTTAAAGCGTAGTGACAAATATCGAAGTATTTAGGACACCTCCCTCTTTTTTTACAGAAAAAGTTCTGAGTTGTACTTGCACTTACGATTATCATAGAATTCAAATTCTATCATCATTATCAATAACTGGTATTAATCATTACACTGTATTCGTTTGGGAATCCATTACTACATGAACTCTTTTCTTTAAACACCAATGTACTACTCTCTCTCTCTCTCTCCCCTAAAATGCTTAAAAGATAATGACTTAAGATTGATCACTCAAAACGTTCATTCCTTTGTAATACTTTGATCGATTTATACAAGATATATTAGATATTCATAACTAAAAGTAATTCCCTTCATGTTATAAATCTCTCCAGAACAGGTTCTTGTTCGTCAACCTCACAATGAAAGGTAGTTGGCTGTAAGGACTCTAGTACTTGACGAAGCAGTATTTTGACTTTATCCGTCTAAATCAATAAAACAATGTCAAACATTGTCAAAAACTTCTCATCGACTTGGAGTCAATTATTCAGTATGCACTTAACTGAGAAAAAAAACGTAAAAGTAAAATGTATTAAGTGACTGTCCTATATGGGTATCCTTATTTTCTATTTCCATTGTTTGATGTTTATTGTGTCTCTTCAAAGTCAGTCAGTTTTTCTTATCTTGATGAATACATATATTTAACACGAGGAAATTTAATTTGCATTTTGCAGGAGAGGATTTATGATTTTTGTAATATACTAGTAATGTTCTGAATGCTCTCAATTTTTTTTAAATATAAAAATCGTCTATTTCTGGTAGAAGTTGAAAGCATGCGCTGATCTAGAGGGGAGGGGGGATAGGGGGGATCCGGACCCCCCTGGAATTTGCAGAGTTATTAAATTTATATACTAAACTAAGTAAAAAGTGACCTTGGAACCCCCCCCCCCCCGAAAACGCAGACCCCGCCTCGAAAACGCGGATCTGTGTTTAGTTGGTATGAAAAGTCATAGGTACAAAGCATTAGAAGTCAACGATTCCCCCCCCCCCCCCCCCTAGGTTTTTCACGTTTGGGCGAGTTACCGTTTGTGTGTGAGTGAGTGTAGGTGTGTTTGTGTGTGTGTTTTTTTTTTTTTTTTTTTTTTTTTTTTTGCTTATCAACATATTTCTGGGTTGGATTTTTTTTGACTGGGGTGGAACCCCCCCCCCCCCCGGAAAAAAAATCCTGGATCCGCGCCTGGAAAGTTAAGTTTGATCTCAACCAGTTTAAAAAATTCTTAATTTCCCCTCTCAGTGAATAACACAAACCTAACTTAAAGCATTCTTTTACTTTTGCAACAGTATAGGCAGGGTATGGAAAACCGGTATAAAAAAAATCATTAATATTGTGTGGAAGATGATAATAACGTTTCTTTTATTTCTTTTTACTATAAATACAGGCCCCGTAGCAACGGTTTCAACAGTGGGGAGGGGGGGGGGGTTCCAAAAAAAAAAATCTTACAAGCAAAAAAATAAATAAATAAACGGTCTAAATCTTGGAATTTGCCAGTGCTCGACCTTACAACATCAAAAAGTATGTGTGTGTGTGTGTGGGGGGGGGGGGGGGGCAGCATCTAAAGGAAAATACTATAATCAGAGAAAAGTAAGAAAGGGCACCCTCCCTCCTCCTCCCCGCGTTCTACGGGCCTGAAATAACCCCATCTGATTTAATCTTTTGTATTAAGTTTTGTTTTTCATGTTCAATTGACGCTACATTTTTGTATCTACATGTATTTAGAAAGTTATTTTATGTGCTCTGTATTCCCTCATTGATCAAAATATTATAATGATGGTTTTCTACCATTTAACATATTAAAATCAATTTAATTTCAGCTTGCTTTGTTTCCATTTGTGTGAAATAAATGTGAAAAGTAAGGAAAATATACGTACATTGTAAATAAATGTAAAAGTACTATTTGATGTCATATCTATCTTTTACATCTTTATGTAACAGCTTTTAAATGTATTATATATATTTAAATAGCAATTTCATTTAACAAGAAAAAAAGTTAGCAATGACAGTTCAAAAACAGATGGCAATAATATAGCCGAAATCTCTCTCTCTCTCTCTCTTTATTTGAATTATGAACTTTAAGACTAAATCGACCTTTGTACAAATTATCACTAAAAATAGAATCGATTACTTCATAGTCGCACTTTTCTGATAATATTGTAATTAAAATCATAAAGATATATAACGATCTCATCAATGTTTACTTTCGCGTTAAAAATCTCTCCAGAACTAGCGTCCTCGTTTGACACGCTCACAATAAAATAAATTGGCTTATGGGACCTGAGTATTTAGCAAGGAAATGTCTATACTTAACTCTAACATGTCGTACTCTAACTCAATAAAACGTTGTCAAACATTGTCAAAATCTTCTCGTCGACATGTAATCGAATTATTTGCTTTCTTTTCCACATTTCAAGAGGGTGGTCACAAAAGGGAAAGACGGTACTTACTTTTTTGAAGATATATCCAAACAATTTAGCTATTTACCCGTTCTCTCTGTTTTCCTTTTTCAGACAAAATTCTATATTCGTTAATAAATATCTCTTTCTTTCCTGTTTTTAATATAAAGTTTTCAATCCACGAAACATTTGAACAGTATATTTTGGAGAGAGAGAAAATATATATATTGATTTAATATTTATTAGCTTTATAAATATTAAGGTATAAACTATTGTGTGAAATAATCAACAGAATTGTTAACCTCTAACTATAAGAGGTATGCTGAATATCAACATGTACAACCTACTGAATCATTCATTTGTGTAAGGCCTCCTTTATTTTACTGGCAATAGCACAGTACTGTCACAGAGATTGCATATATATACCAGACCCAGACACGTAGAGTGAATAGCTAGGAAAGAGAAAAGAGTAGGAAAGGGGGTGGGGGTATAATTATGAAGAGAGAAATTTATCAATAATATTGTAGCCACCAGCACCCCTTGTCTTACCTTAGACCATCGTTTACATCTCTCGTTCTGCATGGCGTATCGTAAGGTAGAATTCACTGCGTAGTGAAGCTGATCCAGGCTTTGAAAATTCCATTTTATCTTCTCCATTCCCATCTCTGTCTTTGGCTCGATTAACGCTGATATTAATATTATCAAATTTTCTACAAATCTCTAATTTGTTGCCTAAATGTCCAAAGCATTCCAGTTACATGAATAACTCTCCAATTCTTCTTAACACTTTTTACGACCAAGAAACAAATAACTTCTTCTTCTCCTATATTTAGCAGGCAAGTTATTTTCAAAATTAATTTTAGGCCATAATACCTCTAAATCCCACTTGCTATGTTGACAAAAACGTGTTTATTGCTTTCATATAGGTTAAAATTGCCACTCCTGACTTTTTGATAATCCTGCATTAAATCTTTTAATAACACTGAAATCTCCTTGTCCACGCTTATACACTAGGGACGGACGGAATACACATTTTTCACTAGATTTCGGTTGAAAAATTAAAAGAAAAGGGAAAGTTTACCAGACAATAGAAATATCCAAAACTGTTACAGAAGTTCACGATCCATTGAATGATTTCCAATCACAGTATGAAAGCAATATAACACAGGAATTTAAACATATAAAATTGGTTTTAACTAATGCGTTCGTGAAAGTTTATACAAGGCGATTAAAGGGCTTTAACGTGCATGCAGTTTTCCATGGCAAAAGCTTACATCAACTTTGATTTTTCTCCATATAAGTCAACCAGCCAATAACGATCAAAGCATGTGATAAATCAAGGCAAGCAATATTTTCTCCATCGAAAGTCACACAGTTTTTCAAACCAGTCCTTTCAAAAAGCTATTACTTTTTGTCGCATATCTATCGCTACATTATTTGTCAATTTTTCTCTGACAGTTTACACAGAAGAAAGTCTTTGCCTTAAGATAGTTCGACATGTCAATTTTTTACGCAGACTTCAAATTTATTTCAATTGTGTCAGGATTTTAAAAGCATTTTAAGTATATTTCCTTTGTAATGGCCCGGTATTCCCCGTGTGACTGAGTGATATTCAATTTCATTTAATCTAAGTGTTAGCATACTGAAATATTGCGATAACGGGGTACGAAATACAAACATTCACTCCAATTCACTTTAGAAGTTCAAAAGTTTTGTGTATATAGGCATCCCCGCAAAGCAGGGTTTGTAGATTGCAAATGGAGTCTTATAATTGCTTGATTTAAATTTATTGAGGTATATGTCGGCATTTATTTGTCTAACACTGATGGATTTTGATTAAGCGATTTTTTTTCTCTCGATTTAATGATTCTATTTACTAAATATAAAACGTTTAACAGCCTCTTATAGTATGTAGAAAAACAATTTATATTTCTACAGTTGTTTTGAATCTGATTTAGATTGAAAATTTAATAGAATTCTGTAATATCGGGGAGGGGGGGGGGGGACTTTCACGTTTTCTTCCTAATAATATGTTATTAAGAAATTTCCCTTTTAGTTTTTACATACATGGTTAACGACAAATTGTGAGGTCAATTTGGGTTCGCCAATTTTAGCCGATTAAATCTCCCTTGTATGAATAAACTTCATATAATCCCAAACAAATAAATAATAATCTGTCCTCTCGGTTATTTCAGTTAAGCATTTAATTTCGATGCCACCCGGCTTTGTTAATTCTGGTTTCACTAATACCAATTAAGTATTTATAACCGAGTCGGTGATATCATTCATGGGAAAAAAGATTTAATATTTCATAAATCCAGTTAAACTCTGTGATTGCTTTGAATTTAATTACTCAGTCGAACATGATCGCATTTAGGTCATACATGTTTAACATGTTAACTTTGAATTTACTTATAAGGGATAAATTTCAAATTTATACATATATCGTGTCGTAGATTTTGTATATAATGCCAACCAGTAAATTTAAAGTTTTCAACATTTAAATGCTAAATGGACCAATAACGCTGTGCCTTTTCGTATAAAAAGACTGCACTTCTATACGAGGAAGGTCCATTTTCATTAAAAATTTATTTATTTTTTACTATTACAAATATGTCTAATATACTATAGTATTTCCTTACTTAGAGATATAGTATGAATATAACCAGGATACATATGCACATGTAACATGTAACAACCCCCCCCCCCCCCCGATGATTGTGCATGGTTGAAGAATTTCTACTTTAACATGTTTTCTCACAGAAAATTGGGGTACGGTACCTTACCATCGTTTGCGAAGATATCAGAGAATGATATTTCCTATACAATCCTAGCTCTTAGGAAGATATCCAAATTTTGGTGTTTAAATTTTGAAAGACATTTTGAAAAAAGCTTAGAAATCAAAAGATAACAATAAATATTGTCGGTATATTACAAAGGGATACAAAATCAGATATACGAAAAACGTGTCGTCAGACTTTAATTAAATATGTCTCTTTAAAAGAATACCCCATCCACTTCAATTTAATTTCTCTAAATGTTTGAGCTGAAAGATAGGTTTAAAAAATTGCTTTTTTTAAAATTAACTATACATTAGTTGTTTTTTTTTTACCATTTCGTTTCTTACAAACAATGAAATTTTATTTTATCAATAAAAAGAGAAAACCATGCATAATTAGCATAAGTATCTTTTTATTTTTTACAAGTTGCATGTACATGTACTAACCTAAGAGTCCCTTGGAGGGGGTATACTTTTGAACTTAACTTGTTGATGGTTTTAGGGGAATCTTGGTCAGCCTTTGGAATTCATCTACATCTTGAGAAAAAAAGGTATATTATTTAAATAGGATTCAAACTCACAGATAAATTCCCTTAGATCTGTTCCCGAATCCAAGGCCATAACAACCATGATTGTGGAAGGTAAGGCATGTGTGTCACAAAAAAAATAATAATAATAAATTTATTTTTTCTTTTAAGTGAAAAAAATACTGCTTTGAACTTGAATTATTCAGTTGTGTCACTGGTGTTCCAATTTTCGGAAATTGACTATAAATAATTATCTCCCCAGGTTCTTGATCATTTCGTCATTTATTCAGAGTGTATAAATTGCAATGTTTTGGGGTTTTATTATCTCTCTCTCTCTCTCTCTCTCTCTCTCTCTCTCTCTCTCTCTCTCTCTCTCTCTGTGTGTTCATTTTAGGATGGGGTGTTATACATGTTCCTTGTCTTTATATTCCTCTTTTCTGGGCATTTTCAAACATTTTCTTTGTTTTGTTAGCACCACTTGGTAATGTTGCTGATGTTTTGCTTATCTTATTGACCTATAGCATCTTTCATTGAATATTGGTTCAAATACAATAACCTGACATACCAAATAAAGCAAGTTCTATTCCAAGTGTCATTCTCACATGTTTCCTCTGAGTTGCCAGTAATAAAGATATGCGAACATAAGGGCTTGTCTTCCGGATTGTTAAATGTAAAATAAATTTTAAAAATCATATCTTCTTTAAATACACTTAGAAGTTGTTAAAATAGAGATTCTGACACTTTTATCAGTAAAGAAAAACCACGTTTAAAAAAGACGTACCACACCTATATACATAACTGTAGAGTTTATATGTATATAGGTGTGGTACATGTACGTCATTTAAAAACATGGTTTTTCTTGACTAGAAGTGTCAGAATCTCTGTTTTAACAACTTTTAAGTGTATTTAAAGAAAATTCAATTTTTTTGAAATTTATTTTACATTAAAGAATCCGGAAGACAAGCCCCTATGTATGCGAAGGCACTCTAGCTAGAATGGTGCTAAATTTCCAAAATAAAGTTCCTTTGAGGATTTAGTTCAAAACATATTTGTTGCATTAAGGTTGATATTGGTGCAAAAAGGGGGAGCAACTATGGACTACAAAGTAAGTTATATGTGAATATTAAAAACTTTGACTAATATTGAATTGCATATCTTCATCAAATCTTTTGTTTGCGCCTTTGTTTAGTAGCAATGTGTTTATTTTCAAATGTAAAATTAATAAGTTCACAAAAGCGTGTTGGGTTAAAAAACTGTATTCTCACTGGAGCGACGAGAATTGCCAAATTTTTTGCGACCCTCTCGCCCGACACAAATACATCGGGATCGGTGTACTAAACGCAGGAAAAGTGAAAGTAGACGAAAGACTCAAAGACTGTCTGACTGAAAGAGTGGTGAGAATCGAAGAATGAGAAATGGATTCATCAGAAGAATGGGAAGAAGAGGTATTTAAGACGTGGTGTAGTTTAATGTACTTGCACTTAAACACAAATATACTCATGTACTGCATGTATTCTTATGGCTTAAGTTATGCAAATCATCCGTCCTTGACTACCCTTCTATCGAAAGGGACCCACATCAGAAAAAAAGATGTAAAGGCTTGTGCAACCAAAAAGTGGGTCAACATATATAGCTTTACTTTTAAATTTTATGATCTGCCTAATATAATAGTGTATGATTGATACATACATTGAAACTATCAGATGTTGGATCGGTAGTTAGAATAATCTAACTGTGTCTCGGGACAAGCCCTCACCACAGTTAGAATACGTCCCATATACTTGCAATGTAGCAAATCGGAGTGGATCCACTCCGAAATGATTTTGAAGAATACAAAAGGAGTTGCACTGAAAATAACTACCAAATTAATCATAACAAACCTTTTTGAGATTGTATATGCCTTTTAACCTAAAAAATAATCCATATAAATACGAAAATTCAACTCATTTTCTCAACGTTTTTTCCTCGCTTCAAATTTAACGCCATGTTGACATTCGGAACTCTCTGGATTGTTTATAGAAAATGCACAGAGTTCGAGTTATCGCCCGTGTTTATTTTGCTACATTGCCAATACACGGAACGAATTCTATCGTTAAACCGGGTCCGTAGGACAATATCATTTTAACGATAGAACGTTCTATCTAGTTGGATCGGTAGCAGGGGCGTACATGTAGCTTCCATTGTGGCAATGAGGCAACTGCCTCACTAGATTTTTCACCACAACCACCCCTTTCCATAATCAACAATACATTGCAGATAATACGTAAAATTAATGGCATATCTTTTAACATTTTAAGCAGTTCTATAATGTTGAATTGAAGATATAAAGAAATAAAAGCAAGTTTAATAAGATGCGCTTTCACCTTTAAATGTTTCAGAAGTTTTAGTAAACATATTTATTAGCTCTTTTGCATTCTTTCACAATATGTAATATCATGCTGAAGTCTTAAATAAAGAAACCAGTACAGCAAATGAAATTTCATTGCATTTTAAAACCCGCAATTCCATTTTCTGTCGGAGTGCCCCCCTCCCATGACAACACCCGGAACCTGCTGGGGGCTTAAGGCGGCCCAGACCTCTTGCTGCAACATGTATGGTTTTGCCTCACAAGCTACGCCACTGGGTAGAAATATTGTCAGTTGATGCACCTTGGAACTTATATCATCTTTGCAAGCCACAAGTTTTGTGTCAATCCATTCTCTTTTCACAAATTTGTGGCTGCGTGATGTTAACTTCTCTTGTTCTCATGAATAAATCATGAATATAGAATGAAAACAAAACTCGTGAAACTGTGGCCTGTGACGATGAACCCATATACATGTATGCTTTGATTGTGTGCTATATTCAATTTATCAGAAGTTCAAGAGCATTTCTGAGCCCCTTTGTGAAAAAAGAGTGAGTCTAGACAGACATGTACTCAATGTTTACACAGTTTCCTAATCAAGCGTTAACCTTAAATACCCCATTTTCTCTTAAAATCATGAGAATTTGGAATTTTTAAAATTTTCTGGCATCATATCTAGACTAACTATTGACATGATTGACATTATAGTTAATGCAATTTTTTAATGATATGAAGTCTACAAATAATAATGTCCCAGACTAAGTATATAATTTTAAAAACCTTTAATTGAAGGAATCATTGGGGGAGAAGAACCTTTACATTCCCTATATTAAATGTTTTCTTTTTGTAATTAAGGAGCAGTGTTTGTTGGTCGAACTTCATGGGATTCTAGAACCAGATTTTCTCCAGAAAGCAGAAGGCAAATGCAAAGTTCTAGTGAGTTGGAACTAAAACCTATCTATACCTTAAGTATTAAAAATTTAAACATTATGTATTTGCATAATATTTCATTTGCACCTTAGCATTCCATTTATTTGAGTTATATGAAAATAACTATGAAAGAGTCATTCAAATAATGAATTGTTAGAAGTATTTTTGATGCAATATAATTCAAATATCTGTCAAATAAAAAAAAAAAAAATTTTTCTCCAGGGAATAGGAACAGAGACACCCCATCTGCAACTGGATGACTACACATTTTCTGGAAAATATGTACCACCCATGGGATCCTATCTAATTCTTGAGGAAAAAAAGCCTGAAGGTAGAAACTTTTACAAGTTTTATATAATGACTGATGGGTGGAATTTAGATACATGCTGCTTAGGGAAGATGATAATTAAATCTCCTTTTTTAGCCATGCAGAATTAATTCTTAGTCTCACTATCCGATTCTTAGTCTGATTATAAACTTTTAACAAAATGATTACAGTATTTATTCAAGTAAGAGTCAAACCCCCATATGTGTTAGCAATCTTCGATGTAAAATAAAAAATAAAAGCATCTTGTATGCATTTATCTGTAAGATCTTCATTTCCTTTCAATAAAAATGTGTGTAACAATGTTTTCTGTTGTGTTTACCAATGTGTTATCCATGATTATGATGTTGTTTTACTTAAAAGTGAACTTTGTCAGCCTTATAGGGCAATGCTCTTAGAATGTTTGAAATTAATTTTCCTAAACTTCATTTGTTCATAGTTGACTCTTAGTAGATGTCACAAATTCTTGGAATATTTAAAATCTGAAAGTTAATGTGTTCTCTCTGATTTTTTTTTTTTTAAACAAAAGTTAAACTTAAGGAAGCTCTAAACAGTACTGCTCACTGAATTTAAGATTTTTTATTTATGAAGTAGGAGTGATCTGCCCTTTAGGGTGTAACAGGAAAGGAGAAAATGTATGGCTGGACTGGGTATGGAACCTGGGACCCCTGCATCACTAGTCAGGTGCTCTACCGACTGAGCTACCCAGGCTGATATCCATGGTCCAAACCATTACATTCCTTCCTCCTTAAATTGTTTTCACCCTCAAAGACACAACCCAACTTCTTATTTGCCCCAGGCAGGACTTTCATCTGCAAGTCCAGGGGTGGTCAACGGCACCAAATCTGTAACAGGAAAGGAGAAAATTTGTGGCTGGACTGGGAATCGAACCCGGGTCCCCTGCATCAGATGCTCTACTGACTTAGCTACCCAGGCCAATATCCATGGCCCAAACAAATAGTGTAAGCAGGAATCAAAAGTAAATGACATGATCTGAATTTGGGTTGCATGTTCTTTTTCCTAATTTAAAATAATTTTTTTACCTTATGGCTGGTACCCTATCTTGAAGTTAAATTAGATAAAACTCAATGCATATACACTTTTACCATATGTTTACTCCCTTATACAGTGGATATAGTTTAAACATGTGATAGCCTACATGTACCTGTATGTGTAAACAAATTATAGAAAAACTCCCATGGATTGTGGTACGTAATGTAGGATATGTTTTGATCCAACTCACTGTGTGTTGATCTTTTCTATCCTCTCTCGGCCTCTCCAATTAAGCTCTCACTCGACAGATAGAAAACACAAACTTGTTGGATAAAAATCATATCCGTCCACAAACGATTGGAGATCCTAATTACATGTATTTGACACAATTTTCTCAAAGTCCAAAAGAACATATTTCTTTTGTGTTGAGAGTTTTTTCTTTTTATTTTTACATGTTAGCAGGTAAGTTAACCATATTGAATAGAAGAGAATTACATAGAGTATGAGTTATCTCTCTTAGAACAGATGTAATAAGTAACAAAATATGCAATCATGCTTAAATCTAATATTTTCAGATGGAAATAATGCAGAAGATTCAAAAAATCATGTGGGACTAGAATTTGTATCATGCCTAGATAGAAAATTAGATATGCACAGAACCTTCATCTCACCAAAAATAAAAGAGAGCTCCACAAATGCTGAGAAATCAGAAACTTCTAACGCTAGTACAAGTCAACAAGGTAAAGTTCTAATATAAGAAAAGATTTATTCAGTCCTATTAATATGCTAACTCCAGTTGATATAAAGAGATATAATGCTGAAGTTCACAGAAAACCAAAATGTTTTTTTTTTTGTTCAAATCATTAAAATCAAGTCCAAAAACCTTTTTTTGTCCATGGATCGTCTTCTACTTTTTCTCAAGCCTCTTTCCCCCTTTGACAAGCAAAAACGGTTCTGTCAAACATGGTTTGCTAATATCAAATTCCCTGCACAAGGTGTGCTTGATTTTTTTTTTTTTACAATGAATTAATAAAATACAAAATTTTAAAGTAGCATTCTTTATTATATGAACTTCACAAAAAAGAAAAATCATTTGAATTTTTTTTCTTGAATGTGAAATTTATTAAAATTGGAAAGACTGGGTTTGTGAATGAACTGTTTTTCAATAAGTTCATTTAATTGTTTTTTGTATTGCATTGTTGCGTGTACAAGTGTAGATGAGAACATTCAAGATGTATAAAATCAGAATTGAAAGCTTTTTAAAAAATTACATTGTATCTTGGTGATGAATTTTGTATTTTATTTTCCTCGTTTAAAAATGTAGATCTTCCAGATAAGAACAGTTGTGATGGTCCAGCCAGTGTAAATGATTGCAATAAACCTGCTGCCATGGAGACATGTTCAGAGGTCACATAAGTACATACAGGTCATGGAAGGTCATTTTAATGATGAAGAGGTGTGCAGCATGATACATATGGAAAACCAAGGTTAAACTAAAACTGTTTCAGATGGGCAGAGTAGACAGTGATAGAACTACATACAACTTATATCTTGTCCTTAGAGTGTCTATTTTGGCTAATTAATGGTCAGTACAAGCTGTGTTAGGTTTGTGCAAAACACTGTGGAATATTGTGCAGAATAACAAATGGTGACTTTTACTTAAGACTCCCTCTGAGGGAAAATTTACTTATGCTTGTGATGATCTAAAGTAAAACAAAATAATATTTTCTTTTCAACCATTATACACATGATTTTGATGGATTTGTGATGTTACTGACATAAAACATGCACCTTTATAAATATTTGTATCTGCAGATTTATTACCTGCAGTGTACAGCATTCTGTTACATATTTAAATTTTAGTATTTTGATGTTCTAGAAATATTTCTTTAAGATACTACTACATAAATATTGTTGTAAATTAAGTACTACATGTATGTTAAGGAGAATTATCTACTCTCCAGTACTTGATAGACCAAAGGAAAGGGAGCATGTCAAGTCAACATTTAATTGCTATTCCTAAATAACATTATTTACAAGTCCCTGTCAGTGTCACATGGTGGTGTAAATAAACATCAAAATACCACTATGTAGACATAGATAATCCTTGTAAAGTAAAGATTTCCTACTACAATGTATGAGATTCAAGTGGACTGTGCCTTAAAGTTGGAAGAAGTGAATGACAGTATTATGAGTATCAATTACATGTACATTATTTATATATAACACTTTCCTCAAATTAATTTTATGGCAGTAAATTCCTTAACAGAATCATACCAATATATTTCATTAACATAATAGGAATCGAAAAATATGCTTTGACTACCCACAATTGTAACCTCAAAATTTTTCTTCATGTCTGTAAATCTAATTAATGATCTCTGAGAGATTGTGTTTCTAAGAACTTTTTTGACTTTTTTAAATGCCCACAAAAAGGCAACAAGGTGTTTCCTATCTGATGCTTAAATTAGTTCGGGAACATGTCTCATGAATGAGTATTAGAAATAAAATGATACAAAAGTTTGTTGTAATTGGTGTGTTCAATTTGGCTATTTGTACAGTATTTTGTACGGTATTTTGCATTGCAAATTTGCAATGTAAATTAATTCGCTTAGGTTATTAAAGAGATGAAGTGGTATCATTTTAATAAGTCAACCATGACTACCTCAACGTGTCAAGCATGGAATCAAGTTTTTACAGGAATACTTAGTGCCAGATTTAAATTTATTAATTCGTTAACTATTTCCACTGAAGCTTATAATTGAGCATATTGATAACGATTTTGATATACCTGAAGGGAATTTCGGGGACAAAACGGGCACATGCATGGAGGACTTATACATGCTTATTAAATCGTATATTATATCTGTCTACTATTCATTGACCGTTTCAATTTACCATAATCCATAGATTTAAATGCGTTTGGGCTCTAATTCCTGTTTGAATAAAGACCATTAAAACACGTCGTAGATCATTTAAATTTTAATTTGTATAACCTGAGTTTATCCAGTTCGTGAATAGGGGGAAAAAGAAGAAATTTTAAATTGAACAAATAACACCTTGTATGATAACAATGTAGTTCGAGTCCCTTGGACAGAATCCTTGCATGTGGTCGATTTCACTTATGATGGACCATTTACATACCATGTACACAAATGTAATATTAATCATGTTAATACTAAGAGATCTGTGCAATATTATCAAATGAACAGATTGCATTATGAGATTTTACAATAGGTATATTGCAATAATTGTTTCTGACTTAAGTATTGTCATTATTTACAAAATACACAAAGGACTCGAATAAATGTTATTCATTAAAATGTCAAAATTCTTTGAAATAACAGTGCTCATTTTGCTCATTGATTAACCAAACACACATAAAATTCTAATACTCAGTATTACGCACAAAGGTTTAGAGCGGTATTGTATACAATCTTTCAGATCTTTGTTCATTTATACAGCCAGGCACATTTTGACTTGACTGTTAAATTTCGGAATATGTTTTACAACTGCCTAATTCTCACGAACATGCAGTAGATAACTCGATGTCTACATGCTGCTCTCATTTACATAACGTTGTTATTCCTTCCAAAAATGTACACAGATATATATAAGTGGTAATTTATCAAAGAGGATTTATCCAAGGAATTCATTCTTTAGCATCAAATCCTAAAATTAGAGTTCGTCCATTAATTTCTGGTAATGGCGCTGTTTTATGACGTGGAACACGCGAAAAATCAGGAGATTCTCGTGTTCGAATGAAAAGTGAAAACGGTGCTCGTTTTGAAACATCCACAAAAGATGCTTGTCTTTCAGGGGATTGGTTTAAGTTCTGTCGTACATACTTCGTTGGTAGTTCTGAGGTCGATATCTGTTTCGGTCCGACAGTCTGCTTCAAAGCGTTTACACTTTGAGCAGCCTTGCTTCCTCGCTTAGAACTGCCGAGCACCTGACAAGCGTAGATATGTCGATTTGCTTTCTTTTCTACTTGTTTCACAATTTCCAGGTTGCTCCTTTCTCGTTTTCTACGATACAAAAGTCCAGGAAAAGAGTCCGTTTTCTCAGTTCGAAGTCCGTAATCTGCGTAAAATGTCGGTGAAAATGACATCTTTTTATTTTTCGATGGCGTGGCAGTTTGTCTCATTAAGGATTGCGAGAGAGGCGGTAAATAGGAGAGAATCCCATTATGTGAAGCACTAAGAATCTTGTTCAGTCCGTCGGTTTTACCATTCAACTCTGCAACTGGTTCCGCAGGCACAGCTTTCTCTTGTGCCTTAGTTTCGTTGTCTTGAGGTAAAACCTTCTCATTTTGATCCTGAATCTTTTTGCCTGCAAGTTCCAAAGACACCGGCCACTTTGTAGAAGGACCGGACGATGTGACACGAGACCTTCGTGGATCATACTGCTGATCGGGCCGTGGGGAGGATAGGGAGGGTGCGTATAGGGACTCTCGACTTTGAACACGTGATGATACATCTAATCTTCGGCTGAAACCACGGCTACTTCGTGAATCGGTGTCTCGTGACATTCCAGCATGTGTGCCCTCTTCCTTAGCGGAAGTCTCCTCTTTCACTTCTTCCGCTTTATTCGGCACTAGTTCCTGTTTCACACCCAGTATTTTATAATCTCCATCGTCTAAAAAATCGTCATCCACATCGTCTTCTACAGCATTGCGAACCCCAGGATAACACTCCTGTGCTAAGCTAGGTTTTCTGTTGTAAAATAATTTATGGGGAAGAAAAAAGTCTCGATTCATTGCGCAAACTGTAATTAGATAACTTCGATCTGTAGTGACCTTATCGGGGGGAAGTCTCAAAAGGCAAATGATGCAATGACTTACATTTTGCCTCTGTAGCAGAGCTATCTTCACTGAATATTCCAGATAATTACAAGGTCCGATTAATTGATTGTGATCAATGTATAGATGATATCAGCTGATTTAATGCCAAATAAGGATCCAAAAATTCGAGTGCCTATGATACGACCCTGGTTATCTCTAATCGAACTAATACCACAATCGTTTGAAGATCTCTGAACTTCTGCAGTGTCATTTGTGACTTTGTGGTATGTGTTTTAACGCCGTTAAATGTATCTTTTGTCGTCACACCGCACAAATCTAAGGTAAATAAAATATCTTAAGAATCTTCTCATGTTAAATCTCCCCCAAGTGCTGCACAGTTGTCGTGGTTTAATCCAGCTTTGTCGCTATTGCACCCCGCTGCAATCTTATTAAATCAAGATTCTAATCTGTCTTGTTTACACAAACATGTTAATTTTTCATTAATTCACTCGGCTTAATTGGCATTGAAATTGTTTGATTTTCATTTGAACATAGCCAAGATATATTGGTATGAGGTAATACGGGATTAATATTCTTGTCCGCATGAGATCTCGAGTAACAAAAGTTTAGGACAGTTCACTGCAAATATAGTCGGAGCAACTTTCACAAACACTATTCATGAAAAAATATGAATTTCAGACGAAATTCCGATTCATTTTAGTTCGCCTCGAGTTAAGTGGGTACAGGAACAATCACGCATCAGCACTACCCTTCCCGTGTTGCTCCTAATGTTGCACTGAAAGACAAATCCTTTCTGCTTTTATGCTCATTAATGTTATTATATGCTCCTAATGTTGCACTGAAAGACAAATTTCATTTTTTGCTTTTATGCACAATAATATTATTTCAATCCGTCTCGTGACGCAAAATGAAACACTAAGCCACTCACCATTGCAAAATATCGTTTTAAATAATAACCAATTTTCACACTTCCTATAAAAATATTAAGATTTCACATACTTTGTGCCATTTGAAGGAGCAATGTACGTGAACATTGATGAAAGTTAATGCAATTTCGGTTCCTGATAATTGAATTATATATATATGGAGGCAATGTCATTGTTGTTAACGGTTGATTTGAATGTCAATCGAAAGTAAAGGGATTTGATCGTTTATTGTGATACATTTCAGGTGAGATCCTGTGTAAATACAATGTACCAGGTCTTTCAGAGAAAATAATAAGCAAATAAATTCCCTCTAAAATATTTGAAATCTTTTTTTTTTATCATTCAAATGACATACTTTAATTCATCAATATATCCAAGTCAATTTAAAGTTCTGTAAATATTTATTCTCCTTATTATCCTTTATTCTTTTGTTAAGCTGCTCAATCGTTTGCCCATAAAACGGATTTTAACTTTTTTCATGCTTCTTTTTGAATATTGGTTTTTGATGTTTTGGACTTTTGCAAATACGAATCCAATAATGGTCTTTGAGAATTTTAATACCATGTCAGTTAAGCATTGATTAGTCCGTCTTTTTGACCGTGACAATCGATTTTTGGACACTTTTACATCGAGTCCAATTGTTTCTAGATTCCATATTTAACCATGCCATTTACAACATTACTACCCGATTCCTATCGCTAAATCTTGTTTGTTTTTTAGCCTATTAATTTTTCTTCTCTGAAAGGATAATGGCTATAGCACGTACATTTCCACCTGTCGAATTGATTGACATTTTTACGTCCTACATTTTTTTAGTTATTACATAGGCCCATAACCTTGATTAAAATTAATTTTTCTGTAGAACTGTACAGGAACCTGAGTTCCGCATCTCTTTGAACGTCAAATAAAAAATTTATACATTGTTTTTACAATCTTGCATTTATTGCTTTAAAATCCATAACTACAAGTTTCATAAATAGTGTCTTTATACAATGATATATTTACTTATAATGTACAATCATTCGGCTTTACAAATATTCCATACGAAAAATTTTCTCTGAGAAAAACTTAATTCTTTTTTTAAAATATGCATTTAATTTTATGGGTGAAAATATAACATGTATAAGTTCCGTTTTCTAATCTTTGGGTGGGACCGAGACTAATGAAAGAAATCTTCCTGGGAGCGGACAGTCGGGCGCGGATCTGTCCCATTTCCCGGCGACAGTATCATACACCTCCATAGAATATAGCATGTGACCTAAGGCTGTACAAGCTCCGCCACATATATAAATCTTGTTTCCTGCACAATAGACATAAAAATACAAACACTTATTATGCAATACAATACCATTTGTAATGTTATGAAAATGTTGAGAAATGAAGGCAGAGTAGAATTACAAAAGGCTCATTAGAGATATAAACGTGTTCAAGCTAAGTTTTATTTTACTTACTATAATAAAAATTAATTGAAGCTTGTCTAAGTATGTTACAAATACATATCTATTTAATTAACAACATTTATACATGTGTACGATTTTGTCTTTTAAATGACTACTTACTTGTGCTTAGTTTGTAGATGATGTGAAATACTTTAATAATTTTAATTTACAGTCACTAGGGAATCAAACCTCGACTTACATGACCTCACTTGAAATGAAATCTAAAATCGCTAAATTTTATCATATCTATTTCATATTTCTACTAAAATTAACACCCTCAACAAGAGGCCCATGGGCCACATCCCTCACCTGAGTAACTTTGGCCATAATGATTTTTACCAGATTCCCCCTTGTAATACCTATTGATACCCGGCCCTACTCCCCGGGGTCATGATTTGAACAATTTACAATCTACACTACCCCAGGATGCTTCCACATAAGTTTCAGTTTTTCTGGTCCAGTGGTTTTTGAGATGAAGATTTTTAAAGATTTTTCCTATATATTTCAATGTAAAAATTGGATTCCCTATTGTGGCCCCACCCTACCCCCGGGGGTCATGATTTAAACAATTTACAATCTACACTATTTGAGGATGCTTCCACATAAGTTTCAGCTTTTCTGGCCCAGTGGTTCTTGAGAAGAAGATTTTTAAAGATTTTTCCTATATATTTCAATGTAAAAATTGGATTCCCTATTGTGGCCCCACCCTACCCCAGGGGGTCATGATTTAAACAATTTACAATCTACACTATTTGAGGATGCTTCCACATAAGTTTCAGCTTTTCTGGCCCAGTGGTTCTTGAGAAGAAGATTTTTAAAGATTTTTCTTATATATTTCAATGTAAAACTTGGATTCCCTATTGTGGCTCCGCCCTACCCCTGGGGGTCATGATTTCAACAATTTAGAATCTACACTACTTGAGGATGCTTCCACATAAGTTTCAGTTTTTCTGGCCCAGTGGTTCTTGAGAAGAAATTTTTTTAAGATTTTTTCTACATATTTCAATGTAAAACTTGGATTCCCTATTGTGGCCCCGCCCTACCCCCGGGGGTTAGATTTGAACAATTTACAATCTACACTATTTGAGGATGCTTCCACATAAGTTTCAGCTTTTCTGGCCCAGTGGTTCTTGAGAAGAAGATTTTTAAAGATTTTTCCTATATATTTCAATGTAAAAATTGGATTCCCTATTGTGGCCCCACCCTACCCCAGGGGGTCATGATTTAAACAATTTACAATCTACACTATTTGAGGATGCTTCCACATAAGTTTCAGCTTTTCTGGCCCAGTGGTTCTTGAGAAGAAGATTTTTAAAGATTTTTCCTATATATTTCAATGTAAAACTTGGATTCTCTATTGTGGCCCCGCCCTACCCCCGGGGGTCATGATTTGAACAATTTACAATCTTTACTTCCTCAGGATGCTTCCACATAAGTTTCAGCTTTTCTGGCCCAGTGGTTCTTGAGAAGAAGATTTTTAAAGATTTTTCCTATATATTTCAATGTCAAACTTGGATTCCCTATTGTGGCCCCGCCCTACCCCCGGGGGTCGTGATTTTAACAATTTAGAATCTACACTATCCCAGGATACTTCCACATAAGTTTCAGCTTTTCTGGCCCAGTGGTTCTTCAGAAGAAGATTTTTTAATGACCCCACCCTATTTTTGTCTTTTCTTGATTATCTCCCCTTGTAAAGGGAATTGGCCCTTTATTTTAAGAATTTAAACTCCCCTTCACCCAAGGATAATTTTATAAAGTTTGGTTAAAATTGGCCCAGTGGTTCTTGAGAAGAAGTTGAAAATGTGAAAAGTTTACAGATGGATGGACAACGGGTGATCAGAAAAGCTCACTTGAGCTTTCAGCCCAGGTGAGCTAAAAATCTCAAACAATTACATATATAAGCTTCACTAGTAAACTGTTTAGTCTTACCTACAGCAGTCCCACCGCACGCATGCCTCTCAGTATCTAGATCCGCCACTTTCTCCCACATATCATATTCTTTGTTATACTTATCAATATCTCTGAGACTTGCAGCAGTGGTGAAATCGGTACCATGAGTCCTAGTGGCGCCACCACACAAGAAAAGCTCACCGCGAACTTCTACCAATGCGGCGTGACACCGCGGAACACGAATATCACCTAATCGGGTCCACCTGAAGTAAATTAAAATCCCCATACTTACATACATACATATATATACAATATTTATTTAAATTAAAACTGTTTTATTGAAAATAAGTTAAAAAACATTTTTAGATAAAATGTTGTAGTAAACAGGAAGTTATCATCGTCAACTAAGCTGAAGATTCGCTTGCAACATCTCGTACAGTGTAACCAGCGTCAGCCTAGCACATTGTTTTCTATTTACATTCCATATATGACAATACTAACAAAATTGACATTCAATTTTTGATGACATGAAGTCGATCACGTGATCTGACTTTCTTGCGTACGAAAGCAAACAGCACAAGACATTTGGTCCTTCGGGCGTCATAAGATTTGATCACTTGACCAATTTCATATCATATTCCAATGAAACTCTAAAAATGATATGATATATTTCTTAAAAACTTTCACCATTATGATATTTCAACTACTTTTGATCAAATTTCCAAAGAAGGATACAACACACCTGTGTTGTAGAATGCCCGTTTCATCAATTTTAGATCGAGACGGTTAAAACTACTCACTTGCTCGTTTTAGAATCGAAGCACTCTAGCACAGAAGATATAGGGGAGCCTGATTTCGTCTTGATATCTGCGGTGTATCCGCCGGCTAGATAGATCTTTCCGTTACTAACAGCTGCGGCTGCGGCGAGGCGCGGGACCTGAATGGAGGGCATCCACACCCACCTATCCGTCTCAGGATTGTAGCATTCCACAGTATTTAGCAATCTAAAAGATTTTTAAAGGGTTTAACCAATGCTGCTTTTATTATATACACTGTACATGTACAATTAAACAAAATATTTTGGCGTCATAAAATCTAATTTCAGAGAAATCATCATGTTAATAAAATTTAGTCTTCTGATAACTTGGACGCCAAAAACTTCTCAAGGTACGTTTTTAGGTATAAAAACCGAGATATTTGACGATTTTTACTTAATAAACAAATAAAAAATGAATACCTATCATTAATGTCCTGACCCCCTATCACATATAGACGGCCATTTAAGGCCACCATACTGTGCATGAGTCTAGCGGTCCTCAGTGGTGCAATGGTGGACCACTTCATGGTGTAAGGATCAAAGCAGACGCACTGAGAAAGAGCTCGCGGGTTTTGTATCTGGAGTCTTGGGTTGCTTCCGCCTACAATTTGGAAATCAGTATTGGTAAATTGTGCGATATGATTTTTGAACAATTCCGTTTTTGAAAATGCATGGTGATCTGGTGAAATATAAAGTACATAGAGTTAGTGATACAAAATATGTGGAACAGCTGTGTGGCACATAGAACAGATGATGTAGAATATTTATATTTAACGAAATACTCACCTGTAATGTAAATCTTTCCATTGAGGACACAAGCAGCATGGTGGATCCGAGGTTCCGATAGTTCTGTTAATTTTGTCCAAGTACGACTGGCAACGTTGTACCACATCACACTCTTGCCTGTGATATACAAAAACCACATATTTTTGTTAATTTCTTAGTACTAAGACTATAAATTTAGACATTATACATAAATTACAGAATCCCTTTGAAGTTGTTGACTGTTCCTCAAAACAGGTTGTAAATAATTATCACGTAGACGTTGACATTCCTATTGGTTGACGTCATATCACTACGTTAGAAAAAAATACTTCGTAGATTTACCTCCTTCAATTGCCCTAGTTTTATCCGATCCCGAGAAGAATCCACCGAAAGCCAGGAGGTCCCCAGGTTCCAATTTGATTCCTTCTGATTTTTTCGTTTCCTTGGCCATTCCATTCATGATTTGAAGTTCAGGACTCTAAAATAAACGTGGAGGAAATACATTAGACTAAGTACGAGTGCACTTGTGAACAGATCAGTACAAATGAAACAAATTAACAAATTGTGTTTTTAGATTTCTTGTTTTGGATTATTTTTAAAAAAAGCTTAATGAAAAATTGAACTACATGTTTATCTTGTTCAACAATTTTTATCTCAGTTTCAATTATTTTTATCTAACAAACCTGACGCTAAAAAAAAAGGATAGTTACATTAACTCACCAATCATTTATCATTAGACTGTTATGTGAACAAAATTAATTAACAAGTAAAAGTTCCGCGATTCTTTACATGATATCACAAAGAATTCCCAGACTATAAATCAATGAAATCTACCTTATCGAGGCTGATTGGTTCCCTCTTCTTAGGATACGGAAGCTCAAATGGATCCACAATGTGCAACATACGGGACGTCACAATCCTTAAAACGTAATTAAATATATTGAAAAAAAAACCCATTAGGATTCACAAATCAAGCTTATTGTAAATGCACACGTCTTGCACATGCAATAGCTCATATATCAAGATCCACTTTGGCATAAATCTTTGTTTTAATGGATATGTAAATTTTCTGACATACAAATGTATAATATTTAATCAAAAATTATATACCAGTTAGCTTTCAACAGCATATCTCTGCAGTAAGCATTTTTCTGAAGGAGATCGGTGTCACTGAAGATGAGGAACAGCTCGTGGTGGTCCATGAGAGCGAATCGAACACACTCCATGACCCGTGGCAGATACTGTTCTCTCTTGCGGAGGTCATATTTGACCCACTTGTATGCAGCGTTAAACACTTCTGTCTCGTTCTGCACACTTAGGTTATCTGACGAGAGGATCTTTGCTACTGTGTCCAGACGGAGTTCCATGAAATTGACATTCTTTGCAGCCTCTTTGAAGCATCTTACCACAGTTTTAAAGGCAGTTTCGTACATCGTGTCACCTTGAGATACGATACCCTGTTTAAGAATCTCTAGGCAATTTTCAGTGCTCATGGTGTTCAAATAATCATCTACTTTTTGTCGAAGCTCTTTGACCCCGAAACGTTTGGCAATCATGGAAACGTCCATGACAATATCGGGTGTAATCTCGCAGTCTCCCATGTACACAAGGTGCAAGAAAGCTTCAAATGCATCCGCTGAGATTCCTCTTAACCGCAAGTTGAAAGGCAAGGCACCATCACGCTCTGAGATGCAAAACAGTTCTTGGAAATAAGTACTGAATTGCGCCAGCATTATCCTGTGTGCTGTAAAGAGTTCGTCACCGATGGAGATGTTAACATCGGTCATAAGATTCTCCTCCTGACAATTGCGGATGAATTTGCCTGTCCAGATATCATGGGCCGCGGTAAGGGCATCCTCGCTCTCCTGAAGCGCATTGACGACGTATTCCTGAGCCTTAGTGGGATGGTATCCCTTAGAAATATCAACGACCTTGTGGGCGTCCTTCTCTCGGGTCAGGGGATGGAATTTGTTCCTCGAGTCCATGACAAATAAAATCGGCTTGCCGTAATAGTGCTCGTTTTCATGGGAAGTAAGTTCAGATTCTTTTTTCACTGTCTTGTCAGCTTCAGTAGGGATAGGGAAAAACGTTATTAAGTCATATTACAACTATGTGTAAGCGTTCGCATGTACAAAAGGCACAAGTCATGTTATAGTAAGAGTATTAAAAGCTATCTTTTAGCGGGTTTTTCTAAAAAATTAGCCACTTGCACATGTACTTGTAAGCGTGTATTTAACTAAATGAGAAGTTCGATCGATTATTATACTTATTTGGCTTCATTACCTTTGACAATCCCTCATAGTTCAGGGAAATATTTACTTGTACCCAAACTTTTAATGGAAAAATATTATTTTACAAAAATAACATAATGTTGCAAATATATTGGCAACTATATTGGCATTGGGCATTTAAAAGAAAAAAAAACATTTTAATTTCTTGTTTCACTTTGAATATTTTTTTCTTTCCTATTAAGTACCACTCGTGATGTTGTACGTAAAGATGTCTATAATCCAAAATATACATGTTCAATCATGTTATCTTACTGTGTGCCACGGCTGTATCCAGAGCATACTTGGAAGTATACAGATCGGGATCGGAGTTATGACTCTTAATCTCGGTGACTTTGGTTCCACACATGACGTCAGAGCAGTGAGGATCGGTACATGCGAGATTAGTGCAGGCAAACTCTTTATGGAGAGGGACTTTTCGGTTGGGGAGAGTGGTTGCCATGTTACTGGGGACCTGGTTATTAACGGGAACTGGATCATGGTTATGATGGTGATGCTCACCATTTTCATGCTTATGCTTGTCTGTAAATTAAAATATGTCATCATATAAGATATTTAAAATAATCGCATCAAATTCTATGAATTTCTTTGGATATTTGTGCTTCTAGTAGGATGAGAGTATAAATCTTACATTTTAATTTGACAGTCATTAAGTATTTCAATTTACGGACTTGCAATTGTGTAGTTCTGAAATGTTCATTTAAATATATACTTAACGAGGGAGGATCAAGAGGGGTTGGGGAGACAGAATACAATTGCTTCCGTAATATTTTTTAAACCCAAAATATACTATACTATGGGTTAAAAATTTATTAACCCCCCCTCCCCTTGACAAATTCCTTATCCGCCTAAAGATGTTCAGGCGGTTCAAGTTTACCACTAATAAATGTATAATTATATATATTTCGGATGGTTTGGCTAGAAGCACTTAAATTTCTTCCGTGTCGTTTTTCGTTTGCTGCGAGTTTAACTACTACTAAGAAGGAACACTATAATATACGTGTACTTTTTACATGCGCGGATCTAGAGGAGGTCGATTTTCAGAGTACACTCCAAAGGTTCTATGTAAAAGTAAGGAAGAAATGACCTTTCCCCCTCCCATCTGGGAAACACGGACCCCTCTTAAAATGGTACTAAGACTCGTGTATCTGTAAAAAAACAAATAGACGTAGGAAAGTGTCTTCTTTCTACCTCCCCATCCCCCGAAATAGTTTTTTCAGTTGTTTGAGAATTTGATTATGGTATTTTTTGGGGGATGCTTATTAAAAAATATCGGTCTGATGTCCGGTAGATTTGATAGCGACCCCCCCCCCCCCTTTTCCCCTGGAAAAAATGTCCTGGATCCGCGCCTGTTTTACCAGTCACAAATCACTTGCAGATCATTACTTACGCGTTTCCACTGTCATGGTAAGGACGCGTTTGTGCGTCTGTTCCCAGGGAATCTCAGCCACGGGGTCCACGTTTTTGACGTCGGTGTGAATTTCCCCTTTCTTTTCATCCTCCAGTAGTTGCTGTAATTGGTCCAGCTCCTCCGCTAATTTTTTGTTCAGCTGTGACTCACTGAGGTAATGCACGGCATCAGTGTACTTCTGAGTCTCTGTCACGCTGAGATGACCATCTACTTCCTGAAGAATAAAAATTAAATTTTAGTCGGAGGCTGGGTGGGGGGGGGGGGGGGTGGCGTCTCGCCTTGTACATGAATTATTTGATATTGGTTCTATGGAGATTGATACAACTGCCAGGTACTCCCACTGGTATGCTAGATAGCGAGTGGATAGATGTACATGCGTATATTTCTTAGCTTTAATTAATTTTATGGTAACATTGTTATATACCAAGTCTTACACATCAAACTGGTGTCTTTAATAATAATAAAAACAGACACACACATCATCATCATCTGGAACATTTCTATAAAAGCTTATTACATTTTCAATGCCTTACGTGTACTAGCTCCTTCAATGTAGCCTTCAATATTTTTTAATCCTAGCCACCTATTAAATCTTCCACAGTTTCCCCCACCTCTTCTCAAAATACGTTCTGATGTTACAAATCTTTTTCCATACTTTCAACCTTCCCTAAGCATGCTAATGCGTTTTACATGTACCTGAAATATTCTCTCCACACTGTTTTGTGTGATGTCACTAGCGACGTCAAAACTGCTACAGCTGCTTGTACTGCTACACGAGTTCTTGGTCTCGGACTCAGCCTTTTTCAGAACTAAGTTGGACATTACTTCCTCCATTACACCGACATCAGCGGTATTGGACGGAGTATTGACAGGGCTGCCAATACCTCCCTTTTTACCCGACTTCTTAAACTTCTTCACCAAACGGTTTGAGAAATGGAATCTAGTCATTTTGCTGCTGCTAAAATTCGTTACCGTTCCCCAAACCAATGAACGCGAAAATGAGGTTCACCTACTGTGACGGAGTGTTATGTAGTATATTGTGACGTTATATAATTATGACGTCATAATAATAAACTATATATGCATTTATATTGTGAAGACAAATTCGAAGTTAATTTTCCGGAATGTTTTTTTTTTATCAAATTAATATAATTTACACTGTCTTATTTCAAGTCTTATTTTGAATCATAAACTTTCTAAGATTTTTAGTGCTTAAGGAAGAACGCAAATGATTTATTTTACTTTTTAATTAATTAATTTTTTTTTTTGACTTTGAGAAAATTGTATCCTGTAAAGGTGTACAAATTGAGTTATCCATATATTGTTCAACAAAGGTTCTCCGAAAATATGTACGAAGACAATGAAACATTTGTGATCAGAAATTACCGTTGTTTACTTACATTACGAAAAAAACATGCACATAATGTATTCAATTACTCTACCTTTGTGTAATATAATGTTAAGAATACTATAAATCTATATATCAAATTGTATCATTTATTGGAGATTTCCGTTTACGCATTCTCATCTAATACGTAAAGGGCAGAACATTCCAGTCTGATTAAAATCAAACCTTCACTAGCTAGCTCCTTTTTTATTTTGATTGTCACGTGAAGCGAATTAGTCAGACTTAGAACATTCTAATTAGAATTCTTTAGTAAGGTGTGTTTAGAGTTTCCTAAATATTATACCATACATTGTACTGTTGGACATCCTACCCTCATTTTTAATTAAACCTTTTAGATAAATTAATTGCTGCTTTTAGGTATTAAATTAAAAAAAAAAGACCATTGCAATGTAATGTTCAAAGAGAGATCATCCACTTACACGCATTCTGCAAAATTATATAAAACTCCTTTCACAAACAATACAAAAATAGGCATTTTTTTTCTTTGGTTTATTCAACAATAAGACTAAGATTAAATAAATGTTCTGCTAGACATGCAGTTCTTAAGACAGCCTTTAAATATACTTTTATTTGTGCCTTTGTGACCCTAAAATTAAACCTGGGGAATAAAAGGTACTACAATGTTTATCTTTTTGATTTATATAAAATCTAATATATCTATAATTCATCACAAAGAATTCCTCTCCTTATAATTTTTTTCTTTTTTACTGCAGGTAAAATAAAATGGTTCATCATTTTATTAATAAAAAAATGAGGAGGGGGGGGGGGAGAGGGGCTTTTAATCCACTGATTTTTTTTTTTTTTTTTTTTTTGAATCAGATGGACAAGAGCAAAGTTAACACTACAGACTTCATTACAGTGCAGGGAACTAATTTTGTTACATAAACCAGCATCAGTATAAGCATTAGTAGCATCAGGATCGAGCTAACATCAGCATCAGCATTTAAAAAACAGCATTACCAGGATCAGCATCAGCAAGCAAAGGATAAAACCAGCATTGACCTAAATAAAATCAGCATTATCCTACTAGCATAAAAAAAAATCAATGAGTTTTAATTCAGTAAAAAATTGAAAAAGAAAGAAAGAATATTGGTTAAAGTATTCACATTATTGATACATAGTGAGATATTATGATCAAATAATTGTAAAAGGCATTTTTATTGCTTTAAACCACAATGCTGAAATCATTATCTACTTCCGGTAGCATGATGCTACTTCAAGTAGCATTGACCTAATTATAAAACAGCATCAGGATAAGGATTACTAGCATTAAATCAGCAAGCAAAGGATGCATTCAAATCAGCAAGCAAAGGAAGCATTCAAATCAGCATTGATGCTGTAACAAAATTAGTTTCCTGCACTGTAAGTAAATTAATCTACAGTCATTTCTTTAACCTGTATATTAAATGTGAAAAATATAATGTAAAAATGTATTACGATTCTGATATCAAGGACATTGCTTAAACATGTGGATTATTTATTCATGTTCTACAATATGTATACTAGTAAAATGGTTTATAAATGTAAAAGTCGTATATGACTTTTAAAAACATCACTGATGATAAGTTAAAATACGTGTATCAAAAGTGCAGAGGCTTTAAAAATATTTAAAATTTACGATATATCAAACATGTAGTAGGAAAAGAGTTATAAATAAAAATCCCTGGATATTTTCAGAATATTTACATTTATAAATTTGAAATAATTCATATCACAATAAATAATATTTGAAATTTTGTGTTCAAGTCATCACTGAATAAAGTAAAAATAATTTTTAAAATATATATACATATATATATTTGGCATCATTTTGATTTTTATGGTTTACTGATTATATATATAACAAAATATGTTCTTTTGAAGTTAACAATCAACATAACATGAAAAACAACTTTAATAATACACATGAAATTGTTCAGGAAAAAAGTACATTATAATATTATAAATCGAAAATAGACACTCAATGTATAATTTCACGATATGAATGAATGAATAAGAAAATCAACAGGCAAGAATAAACGTGTCATAAACATGATAAACTATAGATGACATAATAATTCAGGTTTTCAAACTCCCTTATACCAGTTTATATATAATTAGTAGAAAGAGATGTGGATGTTATTGCTCACAGATACCTGTAGGGAAAACAAGACTTTAATCTAATTATCAGAAAAATCAATGCAAAAAATATACTTCTCTCATAACTTGCTATTGTATTCAATGAACAAAGAAAAAGAAAAATCAAGGTAAATCAACATCAGCTACTGCATTACTTTAACAGAGTAAAATATTTAATACATATAAAGTAGCTCACACCAGTGAGTGCTAGACATACAATTAATATATAGTGATTGTCCAATGGTCATTTCCAGCTATGATTGATAAAAACATCAATTAATATCTTACATGTACTTATTTTGTGGGTATGTGCAAGTACAGGCAATTCTACTGCATTTTGGCAGAATTCATTTTAAAACTGAAACCTCTACTAAACTAACATCTTTATAGCACCTTTTATATATATCTTTACACTACTACCCTACTACTACAGTACCCCAAAAGTTAATGGAATGGTGAAAGTGGTAAACAAATGGTGAACTAACACTGAGAGAAATATCTCTCTGTTCCTTGTATTCTTATTACTCCCCCCCCCCCCCCATAAAAGGGGGGGGGGCGAACATTTCAGAGAACTGTGTCATCATCAACATTGAAAAAGTTGTTTAACATAAAAGAAAAAATCATTCACCAATTCAGATATTGTGAATGTCTGAATAAAATGCATCTTCATTTTGATCAACAGTAATATCACTAGAAATTTTTTGGTAAATTAACAATCTAAGCTTGTATATAAAGAAGAATAAAGCCTGCAAAAAGGGCATAAAAACAAAGCCCAGCAGTAAACAAATAACAGCTGTTTGTCCTGGTTTAGACCAGTCCAATACTTCTGGGTATATTGGATTTGTGTTTCCAGCGGCATAAAATATGGCTGAGAAAATAAGGTATGCCAAACCATAAAACAAAGGATATATATAGTGGTACAGGCGATATGGTACAGCGGTGAGAAAGAGTTCAATTCCTATAAGCACAGTATTTATTCCATGAAGTTGAAGATTAAACATGCCGATATTAGATGTGTTGAACATGGGCCAGAGGAAGACAAAGAAAACCACAGTAACAAGCAGGGATCCAACATTCGCCATGTTGTATAGCACCCATGTGACCTTGAAGTACCACGGAAGAACGAACGTATCACTTCCCAGGACAGGATCCATGGAGGACACAACAACAGCGTTGTAGTCAGTCGTGTTGTAAAAGCTTGCAGAGGAATTCAACTCGGAGAAAATTTTTCTGTGGAAAGTTTCGTCTGGACGGCTGTTTAGTGGCATTGGGTTTTGAAGCAAGTAAGCCACGGTGACGAAAAAGTGCCATGTCAGATACAAACACAACAAAAGGTAAGTCCAGTTCGTTAAGTAAGCATACCATGGGTACAGTACAAAGTCTGTACCATTCTTTGTTCCGTTCTGTGTGGAAGCATTTCCTGGGTCAATATCAGTCATGTCTTCTGTGCCAAATCCGATGAAAGATGTTGAGGTATAAATCAACCAGAAGTCTGCATACACAGCCATGATCATGCGGTATACAACATAGATGATTGGGGGAAGTCGCCACTGTATTAAAAAAATTAAATTCACAATACACTTCAGTTCACAATCACCATAATAGTATTCATATGTGTGATCTTGTGTAGTATAAATTGCTAGCTGTGCATTTCACCATGACTGTGTGGAAAATTACTGTAAATCTAAGAAGAGGTCTAATTTATAATGGTATATTTACTTGTAACATAAGTTTCATTTTGACAAATAAAAACTAGTGGTTTTGTGAGGGACAGAACCATCAGACAAAAGTATGAATGACGAGACCTAATAAATACAACTGACCCCTAAACAAAGTGTCCCCTAAATGTATGCTTTTTTATCTGTTCTAGTCACTATATTTTCCTTCATCCCAGCAGAATCGCAACTATGAACATTACCAGAAACATCAGTTTGAGCCACTGTGCTTTTCAGAATACTATTATTATGAGAGAAGTGGTTACCTATAGGCCTAAACGTATGATCTTGGAGATTCAGGTATTGACATTACGCAATCGTGTAGTTTTCATTCACCTGCCAAGTTCGATTTCTAGGACACCAAAAATTACTATCTAGTTTGGTTTAATATCATTGTAATTTAACATGTCTATATCTTAATTTCACTTATTAATGATTAATCCTTTCAGTATGAAGAGAAAAAAACATAAAAATAGCAAATAACACGTCTTATCTGATCTTATGACCCAAAGCCTTGAAAATTATTAGGTATAAGGCCTAGACATGTAAGCTGGTATGATTGACCTCGTTAAAGTAAATAATTGTACCTGAAACACGACAAATCGAGCAGGATGAACATCTGCAAATCCAAAATTCTTCACTCGAAATTCTCTCCGACAGTGCAGGCAGCAAACTGAGGAACAAGCCATGGCCAGCCGATCAACTGATCATCAAGCGACACGAACAATAAATTAGGTCAACAAATAAAGTGAAAGTGCAGTGTAGTTCATTGGTTAGTTCTCTCCACATTAAGTCGATACGCACTTGAATTGCTTAAATATTGTTTCTATATATTTTATAATTCATTTATCAATTTCTGTAACAGAAAATGATGAAAATTCAGGAATTCTAACCCTCCTCCCAAATAAAATTTGCTCAATACAAGTAAAAGATTTCGCTGAAGATATGGACAATAATGTTCTTCAAAAAAAATCAGTTTAAAAAAATATCGCCACATTGTAACACACATCTGAACCAGTTTTACCTCATATACACACAGGCCCGTAGGAAGCAATTTCACTTTGAGGGGGCACAACCATACATTTTAAATGGGGGGGGGGGGCACTATCAACTACCAAAATTCCTTGACAAGCAAAAAAAAAAAAAAAAATAAAAAGGTCATCAGACGTTATTATTGAGGGGGCATAAGCATATAGTAGCTATGTTTTCTATAGTATTCTATATATCGGCAAAATTATGGGGGGCATAGCCCCTCGTGCCCCCCCCCCCCCCCCCCGGTTCCTACGGCCATGACACAGCAATGCAAACCACTAAATCTATCAGGAGATTCACATACATTGTATATTTAAATTCCTTTTTTTTTTTTTTCATTTGACCTCACCCTACTCCTCAATGTTCTTTCAAATAGAAAATCCTGGATCTGCCTCAAATACAAAATCATGATTATTTATTAAAGGACAAGGTATGGTAACGGCCGAGTCTGGCCCCTTAATTGATGTAAAAATCAGAATACAGTTAAAATTGTGATAGTTTGTAGTTAAGAACTTAAAATGATGCTTGTTTTAAAACCAGCACTAATTTTGATTCAAAGCTTACATGAAGGCCACAAGAGGGTGCAGAAGTGAGACATTTTCCATAATTTCCTCAATTTTGGCCGAATTTCGTCAAATTTGAGATACATTTCACTTTGGGAAACATAGAGCACAAGCTTGCCTATCTGAGATTTTAATACAAATTGAGAAGAAGCATCTGATACTAGTGTATGAAATATATCAATTTGGTAGATAGGCAAGCTTGTGCTCTATGTTTTCTGAACCAAAATGTGCTGTAAAATCGATGAAAATTTGCATAAAAGTGAGAAAATTCGGAAATTTACATATTTTCTGACCTTCCTGTGACCTATGTGTATCCCATAACTTAGAAACAATACTCATTTTGTGGCAGAGATGACAACAGGTTTTTAATTGATAAACTGTTGTATCATTCTAAAAGACACCCCAAACCAGAGGCCAAAAGGGGTTCTTAGCCTATCTTGTCCTTTACGAATCAGAAAAAAAGTGACTTAATGGTATTCCAGGAAATAACCTGCAGAACCAGAGGTTTGCCTTAAATATTCTCGTTCTGTCCTCTTAGAAAAATCTAAAATTAGAAAATGATCGATATAATTGATTCCATGGTTGATTCCATGCATGCCGACAATATATACAGACAAAATATAATGCTTGCTCAAGAATAAAGTAGCAGAGCCACGCATCTTAACTGTGAGGTAAGATTTTCCAATTAGAGATGTTTGTTTTTTGTTTGGTTTTTGTTGTGAACACTAAAGGAACATGTTTAGTGTCAAAATAATCATAACTTTTTTGTTTCAATCATCTAAAACTTAACGACGAACTAAGAAATATAAATAATGATACTTTGTAAAATGGAATTTAAACTAAAAATGACGGACATTCCTTGATTATAACTTTTTTTTTCCTTTCTTGTCGGTGTTATTGACAAATTATTACTTAATATTTCACAAGCGTATATACATGTACGTGTACCAACAACAATTTAAGTTAATGCCCGAATATTTCTATTATATAGTTGCATATCAAAAGCTAAATTTTAAAAGAGAAGTAAAAACATAAACATATTTACATTTGTTTATTTAATATTTATTTATTTTTGTTTTTTCATTTTTTTCTAGAGATATAAGAATCCATTATATAAGTGAACTTGTCATGAAGGGCCGCCTCAACACTAAGAATTGTCTCCCGCTCGGTCTTACATTTCTAGCAATTTTACACTAAACCTTTTTCAGCATTTTGAAGCATGGCGTCATTATATGTCTCCGCAACAGGGCTACTGTGCATCATGTGTGAACCGGGAACTTATAAAGAAAAGGATTGCGTTATTAATATGACGACAGCGACGTGTGCTGAGTGTCCTGAAGGGACCTTCCAAAAGATGACCAATGATGCAGAATATTGTGCCAATTGTTTGAGGTTCTGTGCTGATAAAAATCAGGTTATATTAGAACCATGTACCAAAACTTCTGACACAAAGTGTCGATGTAGGGATGGGTTTTATTTTAAAACCCAGTCTGCCGACGGCACGGGGGGATATTGTTTTGAAAACAATACTGAACAAATGATATCAACAGGTAAGGCACTTTTGTTTCATATAATATTAGTATTTTTAACACTTGTTTGATCAAGTGTTTTAGCTGTAAAATTGGAACATTAATTCATGCATATTTTTATGGTTTTGTTTTGAACATAATTTATTGAATGAATCAAAAGGATATATTGGAAACAAGAATTAACAACTTACTGGTTCCTCTCCTTAAAATATAAGAATATGTCATACAAAATAATTCATAGAACTGTAAATTGTACAAGAAATTCAAGTAACGAGTTTTTTTTAAGGTACGAAAAATCTGAAAAATGTACTATCCCTCCTTTATATACAGGAGAATATGTAATGGTATATACTGATGGAAGAAAACTATTGTCGCTTAATATAGTCTTATTAAAAAAGGGAGAGAAATGAAATGAATAATAAGATATTGAAGAACTTTCAAAGATTAAAATAAATAAGCATACTTTATGAGATTCACTGACAAACTTTGATTTGTTATATTCAGGAGTTAATGCCATTAAAATTCAACAAGATATATATTACACATGGTAGGGAATGTCTGCATTTGCCTTTTACATAAATATTTTTTGATGCCATGTGGCACTGAAGACCTCCAAAATCCAGATCCTCACCTTCCCGTCAGTTATATATATCTTCATATAATTGGCTTTTTGAGCCATAATTCTGTGCGCAAACCTCCAAATTACAACAATTAAGGCTTTATGGCTTGGCAACTATATGTACTGTCAAGTTCGAGGATGAGTATTTTTGAAAAAAAAAAAAAAAAATCAGTCAAAGTAGAAAAAATGCGTGAGCTACGCATTTGCACTTTTTTTTATATCAAAATATATTGCCAAAGCTAATAGTTTTTTTTTTATTTGAAATAAGGTAAAACTGTTATAGAATTTAACATTACATGAATATGTACATGTTTTGAGGAATAATTTCTTTAGGAATACATGTAACTCTCAAAATGATATTTCATTTATAATTATTTCCTTGAGCATGGTTTGTACTACGGTGTACAATGTAGCAGGATGCATTTTCAAGATCTATTTGACTTTCTCTTGTTTCATGTAAACTATTCAATATGTGTTTATATTGAACGACACAGAGAACAAAGGAAGAGATAATTCTGATGAATGAAGTAAGGTTTATTGGGTGACGGACTCTAGTTTTACACGCATTTACATCGTTACTTGTGAATATCAATTGTGTTTTTTATTTCTTAGAGATCCCGATAACGAGGAAAAACGTGACAATATGTGGAAATAACTCTATATTTCCATTTTGCAACAATGGAAGGGGAATTTTAAATAGTCAGACAGGTTATACATTACGCCAGATTAAAAGTCTTACATGCAAAACTAAAATAAATGTATATTATTTACCAAGTGTTGTTGCAGAAAATAATCGTTGATGTGTAACTGTTTAAAGAAAATACAGGTTTTTTTTTTACATCCTTAATCATACATTGTGTAAGACAAATTATGATAAATGCAGTTTAAAATCGATCTCTGCAATAAATAATATGGCATGTCCATTGTATATATTGTATATTCTGAAGTCTAAAAGTTAGATTTTTTTTTTTTTTGCAGAGGAGGAGTATAATGCCTTAGAAAGGGTAGTAATCACGGTCGTTCCTGTAATCTCATTGCTTGCTTCCCTTGTAGGATTTTTGTTCCTTATTGTGTACTACACTAGAAATTCGGTATACAGGTAATCTTGAAAAAATAAATAAATAAAAAACAAAACAAAACAAAACAAAACAAACAAACATACCAAAGAAAAAGAGGAGAAAGTGCAAATAACTACTGAGTCATTGGAAAGGCAGATGTATAACTGCATAATTCTATACAATAACATTTCAATAATTCTTGTAAACACATGACTAATATATATTAAAATATATTCTTGTCGATGAATATCTTTACAAATGTAGGAACTAAAAGATATAGATCAGCAATTTTTTTTTTTTACAGAACACCACGTTTAAAAATTCCAGAGGGGATCCGAGGTAAGATCAGTTCTATTCATTGACAAATGATTATGCTCTTTATTCAATATCTTTAAGATTTTATTATATCAAAAATTGCAGATGAATTTTAATATGTACATGTGTACTGTTTTAATATGTTGCTTCCAAAGGCTATTGTTTAACAACCAGACATAATCAATCGGTAAACATATCAATCAATCCAGTGAAGAAATTTAAAATTTTATATAAATGATAAATCATAATGCAACTATTGGTTACAACTATCAACTGCATTTATTTCATATTTCTTCGTCTTTGAATAAATGAACATGTAACACAGATGAAGTGAAAATTCATGCATATATTAAACCAGTCAGATTTAGGGAAATCTCACATAGTGTTTGAAATAGTAGTATTCCTTTCATTACATATCGTGTGCTGATTTAATTGTTGTTCCTGAGAATATTACTGTATGTCATTTCATATGAATAACTATATCCTGAGTATATTTTCTGTCTAGAACCATTGCGTGACGAAGAATGGAGAATTCTTAACCTGTTCGTTGCTACCCAGGCGTTCGTCAAAAAATACAAAACATTTCTGCGACAAGTGTTCGGTACGGTTGTGCCTCACAGTCAGTTTTTGAAAATGTAATCAGAAATACCTCAAAACTATTTTCAGAATTAAACTTCTGATATCAAGATGTCTTAATTGTTAAAAATATAGAATACTTAATATAAGTATATACAATATGTTACAGTAATACTGCAAATCTCACTTTTCAAATGCATTTACACGAGAGTTACGTATACACGGTGTACAAACACATTTTTAATATATACTAATGCTGCATAATAAAGATTCCTTTTTTCAGAATTGTCTGGGGAATATGAAAACATTGACAGTATCATATGGATGCATGAATCGAACCATCCAAACAACAAAACGGAAGTAGTCTTCGAATCGCTACAAACTTGGCGCCAAAAGCTCAATCGGAAGGCCTCTGTTGATGTTATTTGTGCTGCGTTGTCTAGAGCTGGGTGTAAAAAGCGAGTTGTGCAGATGGTTCTTGATAAACATAAAGAAATAGTGGATTCTCGTGTAAAACCGCCTGCTTTGAGGAGATCGCAGAGTTGCACAGAAGGTTGTTTGTTAGAGACTGCAGGGCCTATAGCGGGTAAATCTGTTGTAGAAATGTCTGCTTATATATAAGGAATACAATACTTTCCTCTGGTACTGATTTGTGGTTGTTTAAATGGACCTTTGAGTTTTAATACTGTCCTTCTCCATATATTTCATGCTACATGTTTTAAGGAAATGGTTTTTGTCTATATTTCTATCATTGCAATCGAGCAGTTCAATTGTCAGACCTCTGAATGCAATTATGTGACCGCAATTGTTGAATAAAGAGTTAAATGTGATTCTTTGTCATAAAGAATATCTGAGTTTTTGATTTACTAAAGATATTGTTGTATGTAGCACTGGGATATTTTAAAGCAACATGAGCTGCAATTTTGATGTCAGAAATTTTTGCTGCAAAATTGTAATTAACTATGTCAATGACAGATAAAAAGTTTATAAACTGGTGTTCATATTTGCGATGGAAGGACTAAGTATTTATAGCTTTGATTATTGTCGTCCTGTACAATATTGATTTCTTGTATGATACTGTATACTTGATTGTTCAGAATCTTTTATTCTGAAACGATTTGATACTTTATTTCTGTCTAATTGATCAAAAAGGTTTAAATAACCTACAAATTTATCATTATAACACATTTTAACAACAAAATAAATTTCCCAAAAATGCAGCACATATTGGTTTAAGTACAATTTATTGGAGATCGAAATTTGTTAGCATCAAACATCGTGGTCTCCAGTAAAAATACTTATCCAACATTGTTGTTAAAACAAACCTCAAGTGCATTCCTTAATTAAAAAAACTGGCTAGGTAATGGTGCTACATGTACCTCATTATGAGCATATCTACAAAAACAAAGGCCATGGAGCATAAAAAGAAAATACAAGCCTATCAATCTCTAGTAAACTCTACCTGTACCCCTTAGAGGGCCTCTTAATTGATTGTGATAATTATATTGTTTATTTAGGGAGTAGACGTTCAGGGAACACATCGATTGATACACTGCTTCTTAACAATTCCTTTCTTTCAGGCGAAATTGTGTTAATTGTATTGTCTTCATTGCCATCAAGGATGACATTTATTTTTCAGTGATATTAAATTATTATATATTATCATAACACTACATATATTACTATTATATACAATGTTATCTTATATTTTGTATGTAATACATTAGTGATATAATTGTATTTATTTATATATCAGGAATTCTGTTAAACATCCATTGTGTCATTTTTGGACGGCATTGTCATCCACTAATGTGTCAGCCAATGATACAAATTTATGAATAAAAAGTCATCTAAAATACAATACATTGTATTTATAACATTAGTGGAATTTATGTCATCAATCATTAATATGTCTTGCATGTTGCAACCAGCAAATATTCATATCGACAGTTGGCTATGTATCATAAATATATATCATAAAGCAATTTAAAAATAGAACAAGGCTGTATATAAAACATGGCCGTAGGAAACGAGTGAGGGGAAGGGGGTGCCCAGCAATAATTTTGTTGATATATAGTGTACTATAGAAATCATAACTACTTTATGCTTGTGCCCCCTCAATAATAACGTTGGATGACCTTTTTTCGCTTGTCAAGGAATTTTTGCTTGGTAGTGGTAGCCCCCAACTGAAATTGCTTCATACGGGCCTGTATAACATTATTAAACAGGAAGCTGCACTTCTAATACATTTCGTTAAGAGACACAATGAATTATAATCATATATTTCGTTAATGGTATATGTATCATGAATCGAAAGATTAATGAAAACATAAACATAGCAAAGTTTTGACAAGCTGCATTGTACAGGAAGCAAAGAATGCAATACAAGTTACTAGACAAGTGCCAGGAAAAAAATATCATTTGGGTTGTTTCAACCCCATCGTTGTTTTCGTGTAGTCAACGTCACCTGACTTTTATTTAAGATCTAATGTAAACCTCGTACCCTCGTATAAAACATGAAATCGGAGCACGCAGAGGTAAAGAATGTGTTCTGATTATCTTTTTTGCAGATTCTCTCAAAATTTTACAACATATTCCATTTCTTCGGACTTGAGGCCAGGTGAATTGTCTGTATTTTCTGCGCACGCGTGCATGTAAAATCAGTAGGAAGGAGCGAGGCAATATTTTCGTGGTGGGCTAACCACTGATGTTTTTTTCGCAGTAAAAGATATTTTTTAGGCTGCGAACCTTGCGATTTTATGAATCCTAGCTATTACTTTTGAGAACTGAACGAAATTGGCATTAGCTTTGCAAAAAATCTTACCATTGTTTTCAGTATTCCACTATTTGTGTCAATATATCTCTTTAACATTACAAAAAAAAATCATGTTAATAAAATAAATAATGAATAACACTTCCACCACCTACCTTTTGATTAAATCGTTAAGAACGAGTACAGATTATTAAAGCTGAACATTGTTGTAACCACTAAGGATAAAGAAAAATCCACACTGATTAATTATATTATAAAGCATCATTGGATGACTTAACATTCGTGAAAGATGCATTCCTATTTGTGGACAATCTTTTGATAAACAAAGTATTCTTATTTGGAAGATACGTATGGTGAAGGTCACAGAGAATACCTAGTACGTACAATGTACATGTAGTTTTCTTTTGAATATCGAAGTTTTAGAAAATTGCACGTTCGTTCAATGTTCAGTCACACAGAGGATTCTTCTACAATTATGTTTCTTGTTTGTGGGCTTTGCAAAGCAACATAATGATTCTACACTCACATATGGTCAAGAATCTCGACCTGGTTACTCAGATGCTTTGTTCTCTTTGATCTAAATTTGTGATTCAAATTTTGTATTTTTGTCTTGAATCTGTCCTTAAATTCATTATCTGTCCAATCCTTTAAGGTTTTATTCATGATAAAATATTGTGCAGATTTTATTCATTATCTTATTTAATTTGAAGCCCGAAAGCCGGATGTCGATTCAAAGATGATTTGATGTCTAAAGCCTTTCAGTATGGCCATAATAAACATTAATTTAGAAGAACTCAAGTGATAAGAATTCCTGCCGATAGTAAATGCAGCTAGTAAAGTAGTAATTGAAATTGTTCAAATGAGCTGCACGTATTATTATCATTATTTTGTAAACACCAAAAAACCTGTATGAAAATTTTGATTTATTTATTTTTTATGTTGGTTTTGTTATCAGATATGATCTAAAACATCTGTCCCATGCTTGGTCCTTATTTCACACAAAGTAAGTGCTAGTATAATAAAACCATTCTGATATCAATAAAAAAATGTTAATGAATTGCAAGTGGAGGACGAAAACAATTCTTTAGTTATAGTTATTGAATTTATCAGTTACAGGTACATGACGCATGTTACAGAAACATGCTTTTATGCTGGTGAAATGAGCATCCCTGTGTGTGAATAAAGTTATGAAGACAGACAAAATAACTCACATTATTGTTACATAACAAATGTAGGCAGCGTATGATTATGTTTCAAAATGAGAGATACAGACTGCCTCATCACAGAAACTCGACATTTCCAAAGAACAGTTATAAATAGATCTGGCACCATCATGATAGCTTTCCTACGTGTGCTGCAAACATTGTAAGAACACCGCTACCTAACCCAATAGATGCACATTACATTGCTGGTAATAGCTGTTAATAATTTAATTGGCATTTAAAATAAATGGAATTATAATAGCAGGATTAATTACTCACTTACACGTAAATATGTTGTTTTTATATATTCATATGTTTGTATAAATTCATAATAATTAGATTTCTTGGGTCTGCCTTACGTGTTCCTGGAGGATTTGATAGACAAGAAACTGGCTCAATTGTGGTAAGTTTTTTACCGTAGTTTACAATCATTTGATTAATAGTACTGTTTGTTCATTCTTTCATTAAATATTGAACCACGGGTATGGTTGTCCTCCCCATGTGTCATCATTATTCCACTATGAAAGTTGTATAAAAAAGGTAATAACTTATAATAGAGAAACACGACGACATCTTGTACTGAGACTACAACAAAAGAAATTATGAGTAAGTAAAGGAACTTTTCCCGGATAAATTGCATATTTTGTATAGTTTTTGTTGCTGAATAAAATTAACAGAGTTTTAGACATAATACAGGACAGTCATCTAAACCTAATGGAAGAAACTTTTATTATTATGAACTATAAATAATTAAACCATGCCTGTGTAATTATCTTTATTGTATTATTCCTAGATCTGAGACTCATCATGAAAATGTTTAAACACCGGGGAATGACATCATCTTTACTGGAATTTATACAAATAAAAAATGTGATCTATTATGAATAGAAATTAGTATTTCGTGTGTTAATTTTTCCCTTAATTGTTCCAGCCAGAATCTGTAAGTAAATCATACCTATAAGCGACAGAAACTCTAGTATTATTGAGTCTTTTTGATTTAGTAAACTTTTTTTTTTTTTTTTTTTTTTTTTTTTTTTTTTTTTTTTTTAATAGAATTTTCAATATTAATAACAAAAGTAATATTTCACATTCTAAATATTTCATGTAATAAATCGAGTAAATACATGATTTTGATTTTCATCAATATACATCATTTATTTACGTAAAAAGTGTAAAAATTACATGTTATAATTTAAGTGAAAGTAAATGCATAATATAAAGTAACTTGATTACAACCGTTACTGCAATACGTGATTCCAATCGATTAAATCTGGAACCAAAGTCAATAGATAACAATACATAACAAAATTATGCATCATAAGTCAGGAAGAGGATAAATTCACCCTGTGTAGGTAGGTGCAAGTAAAAAAGGACACATTCACAAGTTAAGGTACATAATTAGATGTGTATATGAAAGAAATTATACTTAGTAAAGGCAGTATGCCTCTAAGCTAAAGCTCTGTCTGATTACTGTTTATCAAGGGCAAGGTTAATCTTTGTTCGCCGACATATTACATAAAAAAAGACGAATTCAACGAGCAAAAAGGATTTCTATCTATGCTGAAGTCTAACAGACGAACAGAACAATGACTCTAAATAAAATCAGGAACCTATATACTAGTATATAGGTCCCTGATAAAATCTGTTGTTGAATTCTACATAAAAGAAAAAAAAATGAAAACCTGATAGAATTGGGTATGTGCCATATGTTGCATATTTGTTAACTTTGTTAATGTTGTCATAAATTTTGTTTTCCAATTTTTCCTCCAATTTTTCTGTCATGATTATGGGCTTTGCATATAACTCTATTCTTAGCTCTCTGAGCTTTTCTGAGTAACATTTGTCCAGCGCCCGTCCGTTTGTCTCTGGTTCAGCATATTCCACCAAATTAAGAAAATGCATTGATGGGTAAGACAGATTGAAGTTTGTTCAAATGAAGGATAAGCCACAATTCAATCGGGGATAGTGAGGGAATAGCGAATATGAAATGGGGTCATTTAAAAAATCTTTTTCTCAAGACTCACTGGGCCATAAAAACAGCTTATAAGCTTCTTTTAAGAAAGCTTTTTACAGAACATAGATTGAAATTTGTTCAAGTTATGATCGATTCATGGCAACGGGGTCTACAGTGGGGGTAACATAGATTGTCGAAGTTTTTTGTAAGAAAATAAAGAGAGAAAACTAAAACATTCATCGAAGTCATCATAAAGTCTACTTCATTGAAATCAATGTTCTAGTAAAGTATTGAAATATGAACTGAAAAAGGTCTAGATCGATCATAAAAAAATACACATCTGTGAGCAGGGTATAAAACACGGACTCTCGGAAATTCCAGAGGAAGAAACAAATGTCTAGGAGGAGTATTCCTTGTCGACCTGTCACACCTATCGTAGGTCCTGTGTATTGATCAGGTAGACGGAATATTCAGTCGTCAAATTTAGCATAAAAACAAAGGCCTAACTCAGTCAGTAGCCTGCATCGATTTAAAATTGATCGTACTCAGAGTATGATCTTGAGTAATGAAAAGTTGGGATGTCAACGAATATTCGACTATTCGACTATCAGTCGAATGGACCGACGATCGAATAATGAAACGGCATTCGAATATTATTATAATTTGAACAAGATGTGTTTGTGAAACACTGATGCCCCCGTATGGCAACTTATAGCAAAAGTTAAACTTTCTCAAATGCAAATCAAGTATGTTGTTACCCAAAGTAAGGTCTTGTCTCGAGGAATATACCTGTGAAATATGAAAGCCCTAGCAGCACCTGTTCAAAAGATATGGCCAAGATTAAAGTTTTTTAAAAGTAATTCAAACATCAAGATCAAGGTCAAATGGTCAAAAGTTATGGCCAATGTTAACGCGCGTTTTACAAAAGTAAGTCAAACTCCAAGGTCAAGGTCAAAGGGTCAACGTTGTTGGTATCCGAAGGAAGGTCTTGTCACAAGGATTACATATGCTAAGTATGAAAGCCTTAGCTCTAACTGTTATGGCCAATGTTAAAGTTTTTCAAAAGTAGGTCAAACTCCAAGGTCAAGGTCAAAAGGTCAAATATGGTGGTACCCAAAGAAAGGACTTGCCACAAGGAATATACATGTGAAGTATGAAAGCCCTCGCACCAATTGTTCAAAAGTTATGGCCAAGGTTAAAGTTGGGAAAAATTTTGCAAAAGTGGGTCAAACTCCAAGGTCAAGGTCAAAAGGTCAAATATGATGGTACCCAAAGAAAGGTCTTGTCATAAGGAATACACATGTGAAATAGGAAAGTCATAGCTCCAACCAATCAAAAGTTATGGGCAATGTTAAAGTTTTTGCGGACAAACAGACAGGTCTTGTCAAAAGAAATACACATGTGAAATATGAAAGTCATAGCTCCAACCAATCAAAAGTTATGGGCAGGGTTAAAGTTGACAGCAGACAGACAGACAAACGGACAAACAGACAGATAGGACAAAAACGATATACCCCCGAGATCTTTCGATCCGGGGGCATAAAAAAACGATTGACTCCATGTACGCATAGAAAGTACAGTAATTATATGTGCTTCACTACTGCTAGAATTATTTGTCAGTAACTCCCTGTGTTGCTTTTGTAATAAATTACACACCCCATGTACTGGGCTTTGTTTGTAAATTTTTTAATTGGATTTAATATTATACCATGTGCCAACATAAATTATCTTTTGTTATCTTCGATATTTTTTAAAACAATTCGCTTACATTATAAACTGTTTAAGGATATTTTGATAGCCGTATCAATCAATAACTGAATAAGCATTATCTAACTGTTTAACAATTTCACAAGCACCGTGTGAGAACCCCCCCCCCCCCCCAAATTATTTTATAATAAGCTTTAAAAATATCAACTGGTAATTTTTTAATGCTTACTAAACATGCTAAATAAAAACTGACTGCATGTACTGACTGAAAATGCTCAGTTGGTAGAGCGCTCGCTCCGTGATAGGGAGGCAGTGAGTTCGATTCTCGGCCGTTACTGACCTAAGTCGATAAAAAATGAATGGGTTTACTTGAAAGCAAACTCAATTACAAATACTTCCAATTACTTTGAAAAAATGTATTTAAATACTTTAAATTACAATTACTAATTTTAATTACCCAATCCCTGGACTTTCGTATCTTTTATTTTAAGTTCCGTCGACATCTGAATGTAAGTAACTATTGTTACTTGATAAAACATCGCTGGTGTATCTGGATGTCTTATGGACAGCAAGTGTTTTCTTCTTTTCTGATGAAGTTTTTCAATAAAATCTGCTTTAGAGGAATACTAGTAGGTCAGCAAAACAATGCCCATCTATGGGTCTGTACCTTACTTATGATATTAGCATGCATAAATTCATAAGATATTGAACGAAATGATATGATTGTACTATCATATATCAACATTGTCGACTCAGCGTGCAAAAAGGTGAGTTAAATGACTATCCCCGAATACCCAATAAGAATTAAATACTGCAATATAATGTATAGAAATGACATTATTCCAGACACGGGTTTTTAAAAAAGTAGAGGTAGAGACAACACAGCCTTGTGTTCTCGTCTCTCTACTTCTTGGTAGGGGAAAAAACTACTAAGTAAACAGATATGTTTAGCACATACAATTACATGACTTTTGTATACTTGTAATCACAGATGTAAAATTTAGCATACCTGTGTGTCTTAAACAGGGAAGTGTTAGATCTGGCTCCGGGGTCACAAGCCTTGGAAGAGCTCACTTTTAATCTCAGTCTCACTTTTCCAATATATTTTCCTTTTTGTAAAAGTGAGACTGAAATCAAATGTGAGCTCCTCTACGTTTTATGGCCCCGGCGCATGAAGATAAATTACGACAATGTTGAGTGACAAATTAAACGCTTGAAATTATAATGCAGAAATGAATAAAATAATGTTTTGATCTACAGTATTATTAATGATTATTATATGATACAATAATTGCCGTTTTTGAGGTCAATATACTATGATTTATCACTCTGACGGATACGATATTTACCAATAATCAACTGTACTTCTCAGAAGATAACTAAATCATCATAACCTCAAAAAGTATAACTATCATCAACATGGAATTTTGTCTTAATGTGCTGTTACTAGGAACTTGCGCATCTTATTTAAAATCAATTCTGAAACTCGGAATTAACAAAGAAGTTGCAGGAGTTTATTAACAATACTCCTTTTACCAACCCTTTACAATAGAAAATTAGCCCAGTTTACACTTTTCACAAGGACAATAACTACTCAGATCTTTACAAAAATGTTTTTAAAATCAAATATTGCATGATGGTAAGCGCAACAACTCTAACAGTTTGCAGAAATATTGTTTATATTTACAAATGTATTGATCGATACAGTTTAAATAGTTGCAAGAAAATTCCACATTTTTTTAATTTTCAGAGGGTATAATATACTTCCTCCTCGACAATTGAATGTCAGTCGTCCGTATTTAACTTCTGCATTGTAGAACACCTGGACAAGTATTGACATGATACATAGATAAGTTACATGGTCGCATGGTGGAATTTCTAAAACCAAAACCAAATCTCTTGTGGTAAGTATTTTTTTTTCGTTTTATCTATGAAGTAAATTTTACTTAAATATATAATAATAATAATAATAATATATAAATATATATATAAATACAGATGCATGTTTGTCCCTAAGTATAATTATTGTAATTGAAAACATGTATAAACCTGTGATGAATGACGATACCTACCCAGTGTATACAAAACGAAAGTACGTATGATCGTATGTTAATAAAGCAATTTAACTGTATCGATATAGTCTTAGATATAAGTTCGTATAAAAGTGGAAACACCAAATCCTTGGGTAGTTGTCACTTTCCTATACGTGGTATACATGATAGATGATAAGATGATGCAATTACCTATAAACTCTTGAAGATATCATTTCAGATATTCACAGAAAATACAATTTTTGATATACTGATTAATCCAAAAATGTGCTAAAACATGAAATGTTCGAAATGTAAGTAATGGATTCGATTTGTTCGAAATGAATACCTATTTGGTATTTGGATCTCCATGCAGTACATGTAATTAACATATTTTTTTCTCATGAGTTTGTTTCAGATTAGTACCTAAAAACCTTCCTTCCAGCTTATTTTTTTTTTCAAAAGTGTTATTTTTAAGGGGGTCTGGACACAGTTGCATTGTTTACTTTTTAAATTTTTATGTTTATTCAAATTCAATTAAAATGAATTAATCTTACTTGAATATTCTTAGAATTCAATGACAACGACATTCTTCTTTGTTTGTAAAGAGGGCACGAGCTCTGTTATTGTTTACGTTTCATCGGGTTTGTTCAAATTTGTTAAACTCTGCACACATCACTGAGCACGTACTGACAATACAAATGAGTTTGATGATTATATGTTGTTTTACGTCCCATTCGAGAATTTTCCTTTCACATAGAGTCGTCACAATATCGGTGAAGGGCTTCAAAGTCAGACATATACTCGGCACTCAGGTCCATTGAGCAGTGAGGGTTCTTTATTTTTACACGGGTCCTCGGGTTTTAAGTTCTCTTCCGAAAGACCCCTGATTTTCACTTTTTGTGCCGGGCGTTTGGCGAAGTAATAGTCACTACTTTTGATTACGTCTTAGATTTAACGCGGTGCGGCGAACGAGAATCGAACCCAGGCCTCCCGATCACGACGCGAACGCCCTACCACTAGGCTGACGTAACCGATCGAATATCGAACTGAAGGCCACTGCAAGGGGTCTCTTTAGGTAGAAGTTTTTGAATAAATTCTGCTTCATAACTTTAGATATGAAAACAGGTCTCAGAAAAAAGAATACAAGAATCCCCATCTTGATTTCAACAGATTGTTGGAAGATCTGAACTCCAAAGATTACACAGAGATAGTCAATTAGGATCTCAGCCTTCTTTTTATTATCAACCTCGAGCTCAGAGTAAAAAAAACATGTTGAACAGAATAAATCTGTACATGACCAGTGACAAGATTTGACAAATATGTGAGTTCTGTTTTGTTGAAGAAACAGTTGTCTATGATACATGTATAAAAAAAAAATTAGTCTTGAAGTGATTGTGGGTAGAGTCTATGTAAAGAGTTGAAACATCATAATCATTTAAATGCTATTGATTTTGGCAAAACTATCTGATTTTATATTTTCTTTAGGTATTTTAATGTTTTTGAGAATCCACATCCACATTTAATTAATACCACTTTTGGAATACTAGTATGTTACATTGCACTCCCGAAGTTTCTACCTCACTGCTGTTAATGTTTTCATGGGAATTAAAAAAGAGGCTTGGTGGAACATTTACTAGAACCCGCTATATATCTTTATAAGGTTTATCATCAGTGACAATTTAGAGTCTAGTATAGTTATGAAAATTCAAATGCTATTAAGTTTTTTTGAATTTTATTTTTAAACTGACGCATAATTTTGAAAAAAAAGTAGGATAATCACTTGCAAAATTAAATTCAAGTTCTTCCATAATGCAACTGTAATAATTTGTCGTACAAACAAAAACTATATTGTCACAAAAACTTTGAGTTTCCTATTTATAATTACATGTAATTATAAAAATGATTCCCTTGTTTTCAAAATTCCAATGTTATCATGCATAGGTTTTCATAATTTTTTGTGGTTCGAAAAGAAATTGTCCAAAATATGTCTGATTGAAAGTCTACAGGCTTAGCAGAGGTTTGATTGTTTTATACCAAAACTGGTCATTATGACTGTATATAAAGATAGCGATAGGTATCCTCGGGATGAGACTGTATTAGCAAAGATACATGCTCGATGGGTAAAATAAAAAAGGTTAAGTTGACGCACAGTGATGAATCTCATGTGAATTGTGAAAAGGGCAAAAACACGGACCCCCAAAACACCGGGTTGAATCAGGTGCCTTGGAGGAGTAAATATCTTTTTAAGATTGTAGCTGTATAATTAGAGACATTACTTTCAGGAATACTAAAGGAAGTGGAAGAATGTTTTTACTGACAATTTTGTTATGTCTTGTACGGGAAGCTGTATCAGCGAAGGTAAATTAATAACTATATTAGTACTTGGGAATCTTTAATTTTTCGTTAAATCGTTACGTCTTTGCCTAAAATTTACTTTGTTTACTTTTTATTACATTGAGGTTAAATAAATAATGTTTTTGACTTTAGGGAGTGTGTAAAAATCTGTTTTAAAACAAAAATATTATTCTTAAACAGATCTGGACGATTTCCAAATATGGAAGACAAGAACGATAACTGAAATTTGCTATAAATATACTTCATATACACGTTAATACATTTTTGCCCAATCAGAAATCAGCCTTTTCACAAACCACAAAACAGATTTCAAAGGAACAAAAGAGAACACGTGCTTTTTTTCATCAAAAAGATTTTTTGACAAAAAAAATCTTTAAATGTAAAATGAAAAATTAAGTATTCCTCACATATTCCCCACATATTTACCGCGAACAAACTTAACATTTTAATCTAGAAAAAACAAAAACAAAAAACAATACATCAATGCACGTAACCAAATGCGATCTTTTTACGGAGAAATAGATCACAATATTATCAATTACAATTAAAAAACGTATCAGAAAGTACTCCATATTCATTTGGTAAATATGTAATGTTGCTTAGCCGTACGATTTTCATTCGTATAGCTCTACTGCACACATGTGCTCATCGTATAGACTAGTTTGAAAATATCACGGGTCTCATGAGTGCTGCGAACCATGTCATTTATAGATTTACTTTAAACGGGCACGAGCAAAGGTGTAAAACAATGGGAAAAGGGAATAAAGATGAATGCTTTTCGTCACTATACTTATCACGCATACCAGAAACTGAACGATTTTGTTATACATGTACACAATAATAATTAAGAAAATTATATACCCAGTAGTCAAACATCTTCATGCCAAATTTTAAAAATTGAAAATCTGCTATATTCATAATATCAAATTTCTTAAGGCAAGCTAACGATTGGGATTACCAGTGATAGTGATAGATTTTAATACCACTGAGAATTTACTCCTAAGCCTTCGAGACGTGTTTGTACGGTAGGATTGTTATCGATATATGCTGCATTATGCCAAAATGTGCATTGAGTTTACAAAAACTTTCTTTTAAGCAAAAAGTTTAAAACCACGTGTTTTATTTATTTTCTCATGGGTTTGTATTTGTTTGTTTGTTTGTTTGTTTATTGTTTAACGTCCTTCTCGAGAATTTTTCACTCATACATGTATGTAGACGCCACCACTTGCCGGTGGAGGGCTACAAATTTTGACCTATACTCGGCACTTAGGGCCATTGAGCAGTGAGGGATCTTTTTCGTGCCAGCACCTACTGCAACACGGGACCTCGCTTTATACTGTCTCATCCGAAGGACCGGTCTCAACGTCCAACAGTGGGATTCGAACCCGCGACGTAAGGATCAACTCCTGACTTCGCGACTCTAGAGCAAACGCTCTAACCACTGCGCCACGCGGACGACCTCATGGGTTTGTATAAATGCTGGTATCTCAATGGTCAGAGGGATTAGCTCCTTGTGTATTATGTGTATTTATAGCAATTTACTGTTATCATTCTTGACTTCCATATATCGAAATCGTCCAGACCCTTTAAAACCCTGATACCCTTAATTGAAAAAATGAAATCGGTGTGATCTGAAAAAAATATCATTTAGGAAGAAGTCTTGTTTGATTATACTTTTCCTGTTCATACCACTGAGAGATGTCCACTGAATAGCAGTGATTGGATTGCTGCGTCTGACAGATTACACTGCAATGATACGCATGGATACCACTGCGTCCCAGATAAGACATTCTCATTTCTCATTGAGTTTTGCTATCCAGAGGGAAAACGGAAACGTTTTCAAAAAGGTAAAAAAAGGTGATTCTTTATTACAACAAAAATATATGTATGTTACAATACAAATGGGAAAATACACCAAACATGTATTTTCAGGCAATTGCCTTGAGCTTGCCTACACTGGTATTCTGAACCATGTCAAGTGCAGAAATTTTACGTTTGGTTGTCCTGATGAAGACTACAATAGCGATGAACTGTATAGATGTAAGTTGAAAACGTCAATGTTAATCTGAAGAATGTTTAACTTAATAAATTTTCATCTAGAATGACTCTTTAACTGCAATTTAATTACAGATCCAGCTTGTTTGAATATATATGAAAACTGTTTTACTGCGGATACCCATTGTCTAAAAATGCGATGTTCTAGAAAAGAGTAAGTATCAAAATGTACATGCACATCACAGGCACTTGTTTCGATAAAAAAAATTAACACATAGCATAATAATAACACCGTGTTATTATTATACTATGGGTTATAAAATTTATTACAGAAACAAGTGCCTGTGATGCACTTACCTAAAGGGGTAAAATTTTGAAAAAAGAAAAATATAAAAGAAGCAATTTCTTTTAAAAAAAACAAGCTAATTCAGAGAATAAAAAAAATGCCAATATGGATATTAAGATTTATTCTTTAGTATGTGTACAGAAGATTCTTTTTATATAGAATATTTATCTCACGGTAATAATGACTTTATGAGTAGTTTGTACACGCCCGACGTCATAACGTTTTCATTTCATATGTTGAATATTATCATTTAGTAAACCAAAAATAAAAAAAAATAAAACAAACAAACAAACAAACAAAGAAAAAAAAAGGAATCGTCCGCGGGATTTGAACACGGGACCTCTCATTTGCTAAGCACAAATCATACCCCTAGACCACGGAGGCACTTGATTAAAAAGCAAATTAAATGCAAAAATTAGGTCAATATAATGTTTATATTCACGTTCGATATTGTCAAAATTTTACACAATACATGGTGTCTGATTTAGCCTTTACTAAACAGTTCTAATAGACGAACTAGAATATAAAGTCCGCCGACAACTTGTATTATATGTAGTACTCTCCACATGCCCCTGTGCTAAAAATAATGCCAAGTGACTTTTAATACAATGAAAAAAACGGGGCGGGACACGTTGAGAGGGGCGAGAGAGGCCATAGGTAGTTATGGTATACAAGCTAATTAAGAGAATTTGTGTCCCCCTCTCAGGGAAAAAAGAAGAGCATGCGCATTTCGGGGGGGGGGGGTCGAAACCCCCCCCCCCTCTTGGATTTGTAGAATTATTAATGCATGTATATTGAAGCAAATAAAAAATGTCAATATGGATATAAAGATTTGATTGCTTATTCTTTAATATGTGTATAGAAGATTCTTTTTATATAGAATATTTATCAGTCTGTAATAATGACTTTATATGTTTGTACAAGCCAGAGTCATAACTTTTTCATTTCACATGCTGAATACTATCATTTAGTAAATCCAAAAAAAAAATCTCAAAAAAGGATCGTCCGGGAATTGAACCCGGCACCTCTCATATGCTTAGCGAGAGTCATACCCCTAGACCACGGAGGCACTTTATTATATATTAAATCAAATGCAAACATTAGGTCACATATAATGTTTATAATCACGTTCGACATTGTCAAAATTTTACACAATACATGGTGTCTAATTTAGACTTTACTAAATAGTTCTAATAGATGTAATAAGAATATAAAGTCCGCCGACAACCTCTATTATACGTAATAACTCTCCACATGCCCCTGTGCTTAAAATAGTGCCAAGCGACTTTTAATACAATAAATAATTTTAAAAAAACGGGGTGGGACACTTTGAGAGGAGCGAGACAGGTCCTAGGGAGTTATGGTATAAAATTTCATTGCAAAAGCTCAAAAGCTTCTTGAGATATCGCCCGGAAACGAAAGTGTTACACACAGACGGAATGTATGACTTTACAACCTTGAACTTTGACCTTTTGATCTCAAAATAAATAGGGGTCTTCCTTAGGCCACAGGAAGTTGTTATGTAGATTTCATTGCAAAAGCTCAAAGGATTCCCGATATATCTCGCGGAAACGAAAGTGTTAAAACAGTCAGAATTTATGAATTTATGACCTTGACCTTTGACCTTTTGACCTCAAAATCGATCGGGGTTTTTTATAGGCCATAGGGAGTTGCCATGCAAAATTTTATTGCAAAAGCTTAATGGGTTCTCGAGATATCGCGAGGAAACGAAAGTGTTACAGACAGAAATACAGACGGACGGACGACGGACGGACAGACAGACCTAAATTAATATCCCCCACTTTCAGTGAAAGCGGGGGACAATAAATTTAATTCAGTACTAGTGCAATAGAGCTTGTGTTTTGATCGAATACTGTATTTTGAGGTTACACTTAACTTGCTCATTGTCTGCACCATATATTTCACGCCACCTGAGACAATCAGGTGAGCTATTGCCATCTGGGTCTTTGTCATGATGCGTAACACAATAAACGCGAAACCCTAAATTAAAAATTGTAAATTTCTTTACTCGTAGATCTCCAGGCCGTTGAGGCCTTCGGTGAGATTAATTTGGTAATATATTGAAATTAAATATCATCTTTGGAAAATTTGTTCAAGGGACATATACATCTGAGCTCACAGTTATGCACAAAATGTGCATTTATAATTATTATAAATAGAAACTGCAGATTGTAAATTGCACATTTGTAACCGAGATAATAATTTGAAATTTAAAATTATGAAATCTTTTCTAAGTTCAAGGGGAATAACTCTCAAAAATCCTCGGACCAGGACCAAATTCGAATTTGACCTGTATTTTCTGGGAAAACAAGCTAATTCAGAGAATTTGTGTCCCTCGTTTACGGAAAAAAGAAGAGCATGCGCAGTTCGGGGGGGGGGGGGAGAGAGGGGGTCACTGCCCCCAGTATTTGTAGAGTTATTAAATGTATACATGTATATTGAAGCAAACAAAAAAATGCCAATTTGGATATAAAGATTTAATTGCTTATTCTTTAAAATGTGTATAGAAGATTCTTTTGATATAGAATATTTATGACACTGTAATAATAATGATTTAATGAGTTTGTACACACCAGACGCCAAAACTTTTTTCATTTCACATTTTGAATAGTATCATTTAGTTAATTTAAAAAATTTAGAAAAAAAAAAAAGGATCGACTGGGATTTGAGCCCGAGTCTCTCACTTGCTAAGCCAGCATCATACCCCTCGATCACGGAGGCACTTGATTATACAGCAGATTAAATGCAAACAGTAGGTCACATATAATGTTAATATTCACGTTTGATTTTGTCAAAATTTTACACAATAAATTTTGTCTAATTTAGCCTTTACTAAACAAATCTAATAGATGTAATTAGTAATAAAGTCCACCGACAACCTGTATTATACGTAATAACTCTCCACATGCCCCTGTGCTAAAAGTAGTGCCAAGCGACTTTTAATACAATAAATAATTAAAAAACGAGGCGGGACACTTTTAGAGGGGCAAGAGAGGCCATAGGGAGTTATGGTATAAAATTTCATTGCAAAAGCTCAAAAGCTTCTTGAGATATCTCCCGAAAACGAAAGTGTTACACACAGACGGAATGTATGACTTTACGACCTTGAACTTTGACCTTCTGACCTCAAAATAAATAGGGGTCTTCCTTAGGCCACAGGAAGTTGTTATGTAAAATTTCATTGCAAAAGCTCAAAGGATTCTCACGATATCGCGCGGAAACGAAAGTGTTAAAACAGTCAGAATTTATGAATTTATGACCTTGACATTTTGACCTCAAAATCAGTAGGGTTTCTTATATTGGCCATAGGGAGTTGCTATGCAAAATTTCATTGCAAAAGCTTAATGGGTTCTCGAGATATCGCGCGGAAACGAAAGTGTTACAGACAGACAGAATTACAGACGGACGGACGGACGGACAGACAGACCCAAATTCATATCCCCCACTTTCAGTGAAAGCGAGGGACAAAAACAAAAGAGATGCTGGAGCTCCTCATTGACAATATTTATATGGTCTTCTTTAACAATCTGTTAAAATTGCCATGGGCAACAAATTGATCATTTTTCATTTTTTTTTAAATTTTCATTTATTTATTTTTGGTTAGCCGACAGGTATTTACAAATGTACATTCATAGGAAGCAGATTTATTTGAAATACCTGCTAACTCTTACATTAATATACCGTTCACGGCAGCTCAGTCGGTAGAGCGCTCGCTTCGTGATCGGGAGGTCGTGAGTTCGAATAAAAAATGGGTAGCAACTGTTCCTTCGCCATGCGCTCGGCACTTCGAAGTGAAAGTTCAATTGTAATACTTTCGCTTCATTGGAAAAAATAATAATAATAATAAAAAATAATAATAATAATTATAATGATAATAACTCTAAGTCAATGGTAAACTAAGAAGTAAAAGGCTAAGATAATATTGTAAATTCAGTGTTTTTATTATGCAAGATTTCGGGTGTACAAATGCAAAGATACTTTTTATTGTATAATTCACAGACAAAGAGCACTAGAACAGGGTAGAGAGGATGGATGTACTTACACTGGCTATATTGTAGGGCTGTGTGTTATATCCGTTTTGTGTATTTCCTTTTTCATCGTCAACATAATTCTATTATACAAGAACAGACAACTAATTCGTGAGTATATTTCAGATAAATTACTATACGTACACCAGGTATAAATTTACTATAAAATTATCTTTGGTTCAAGAATGTATACATTCTTTGAAAAGTTTCAACTGTATTTTCATTAATTTAAATGGATCAACAATTTTGTCAAAAAATAATTGATTAAATCTATACACATAAAAGTCTTTTAAAGGTAATCAATAATTAAACATGAGTTTGCATTTTTGGGGGGCCAAAAATTTATAATATATATGTTATAAATATGTTCCACAGATTTTCCGTTCACGATGTAGCCTAGACATTAATTTTTTGAAATAATACATTATACACATGAATTCTATTGATTTATTAGGTACATGTAACTATATCCTGTGATTAATAAATGAGAAATAAACAAATGGATAAAATTCCAAAAATTAGCAGTTACGTAATTTTTTTTTAGCCACGAGACAAACTACATCCACCTCTCAATCTAACTGTAACAAATATTGTGACGTCAAACATAAACAACGACAATAACGTCATATACATGTATATACAGCAGGGCATTACCCGCACAAATCTAAGGCGCGGATCTCAGGCACAGCAGTAACCATTGCTATAACAATTGGATTTATTTCATAAAGGGAATCAATCTTATTATTTACAACACGAAGATGGTTGTATCAGTCAAAACTTGCACACTTGTAACCCTACTAGTAATTATATACTAGTACACATGTACATGTATAATTTGAAACACAGTGGTGCTTGTGAACATGACTTGTGTGTACATATAAATGACTGAAGAATAATCTTCTTTCAGAGAAAATGAAGCGAAATCTGAGTTACGAAGTAAATCCACTGCTTGGGGGTAAGATTAGAATTTTGTTTATCACTTTCACGAAATTTGATGGATAAACGGAAGTGTCCTTCTCACTGTTTGAATTTTCATAGGACGTATGAACACAGCTAGCGAAAACAAGAGATTGGATCATCTAAATATGGAAGGTGAGTATAAATATCAGGATATTTATGGGAATATTCACCTATAAATCTATAGACTCGATTCATATTTTTGTTTTTTAATTATTTTGAAGTCTAGAAATAAATTTTTAAAGGAATAAATTGTCTGAAAAATTAATTCTAATATTAAAGTAATGAGTGATTTTTTGCATTTAAAAAATGAATGAGGCATCTTAGATCTATATATCATGTAAGTCCAAAAGTTTCCACTTTCAATTAAATTTGTCCTTTACTTTCACCTGAAGTCCATACTCTTTATCTGTGAAACGCGCTTAAAATTTGAACGATCAAAAGAGCATTAAGCAAAGTAGAAAAGAGAATAAAAATCGGATGATGCATGACCCCCATCCTAATATAACGGCCATGGGTGCGTGAGACAAGAAATTGCGAAAGTAGTTCTATCTAGTCTTTTACACACCTGGAAACTAATAGACAAGCATTTTTGCACATGATGATAATAAACTTAGCTAACCACTATTATAAAAGCCATGTCCACTTGGGGCTTACCGCGTACTTATGGTGAATAATTTAAGCTTCAAAAAATTATTGAAATGAAATATATATGTAAAACTCCAAAGTCCGATGGTCACGCCAAAGTCCGATGGCTTGTTACCAATGAGACGCACTGCGCTAAAGTGCGATTGTCTAATACGTCAAAGTCCGATGGTGCGGAGAAACAATCAACGTTTATGACGTCACAATATTCCGACGTCAATCCTTGACACCGTTGTCCTGCATTCGAAAATCATCTATTCAGTATTGTCCTCGCATACAATTTTACTGATTTTGCTTATTGCTTGCACCCACCAGAGATATTAGGGTTAGTCCTCGCACACCATTCGTCTGATCAGAGTTAGTCCTTGCACACTATAGGACTGATTATGGGATAGCTTCGCACCAACCCGAGAGACTTAGGGTTAGTCCTCGCACACTATTCAAACTGATTAGTGTTAACTTAGTCTCGCACCCACCCAAGATATCTAGGTTATAGTTCTTACACACTTTTTGACCGTTTACGGTTAGTCTCGCACCTATCAGAGAGAATAAGGGTTAGTCCTCGCATATATTTATTTAAGATCTTGGCATGGCACGGCATCGCAATTTGGCGCAGTAGTACATGACGTCACAAACGTTAATTGTTTTCGGCAACATCAGACTCTGGAGTGTCAAACCATCAGGGTTTGGCGCAGACCATCGGACTTTGGCGTGACCATCGCACATTGGAATCCTACATATATATTTATAAAATCCATTAAAATCATAATCGTACATGCTTAATGATAATGAAATTGTTTCCTTCTACCAATTTTTGGAAATCAAATCCCTCATTTTATTGACTATGTTAAAGGATTAAGTTTATTTAATATTGAAAAATCCATCATGTCTGTTTATTTCATGTTTACCATTTATACCCATCCATACAGCGGATAACCTTCATTAGATATATTTTTTCATGTCCGTCACTGTATTAAAATTCTTCGTTATTTCGTGTGAATACGTGTTCATGTAGGCTTACAAAAATGTAAACAAGGAAGATTGAGATAAAATTTCAAATAATCCATTAAAAAAATTAACGGAAGTAAAAGATTAAACTACTTTGCGAAAGCTTTATAATAGTATAATTATTTTTAATTAGACACTATAAGTGACATGATGGTTTGTATATAATTATTGGACGTAAAGCCGCCGACCCGAAAGTGAAAGCGAAGTTAAATTGAAATACAGTAAAACACGCTTGCAACGAAGTGCAAGAGACGATCAAATTTGGCTCGTTATAAACGTATTTCCTTATATCCATTAAATTATACTTTTTTAAAGAATCCCAGGGACTGAAAACCATTTCTTAATGAGAAACTGCTATCCATGAGGTATTGGGCAAAGCACCTGTTGTGTTGAGAAGCAACAAATTGTCTTGAAACAATAAAATTATTGATTTTTAGATTACTGAGTAACGGAGGGCCTAGATATATTATACAATTATTGACTTCTGATGAGGTCTACTCATGACTGTTTTTACGGACCTTGTTAACTAATACCTGAACAGGTCCCTATAGTCAGGAGTAGACCGAATTCAAAAGTCAATAACCGTTTTATCAAATGATCAGGAATTTTTACAACATTTTGACACTTAAGTTCTTGTTTGCAACAAATTTAAACACTCAAAATAAATTATATTGCGTAGTGTAACAATATATTATAATTATATCAAACCAGCTTAAAAACTGTTTTAAAGTGGAAAACAATACTATAAAACAATAATTACTCAAACATTTACTTATAAGGAAATTAGTCTCTTCGGTATGTGGCTTCTGCTATATTTACATATACAGACACACGCTTTAAAACGCGCAATTTGATTGGTTTCAAAAACATGAGCATAATTATCTATAGTTAGTAAAGAGGAAAAACCCAAATAAACCTTCCAGAACTTCATTTTGAGGTGAACTCACTCTAAGGTACACCTCAGAAAAGGGCGTCTAAACCGGGGGAAATCAAATTCCTGTTCATATAATAAACCAATTAGGGATAAACAATTTAAATTTCAAATGTACACAAATTCATACATATACTCTAGTTTAAATATTAGTAAGTTTGTTTTTGTTTTTGTTTTTCTTTGTACTATCAGGTGAGTTTGAGTTAATATTGCCATTCAAAATATCATTCAAAGTTAAAGTTAGAAATATTAATAACATAGGAATATAGCAAGGGGTTACAGCATACATCACTGGAGTACAGCAATTTATGTATACTAGAAAATTACTGTTATATACCTTGGATATGATTTTATTTTTGTAAAAAACGTCAAAAATATATCTTATTCTTGCATTAATTTATAAAGAGTCATTCCAGCCATGGTCTCATAAAAAATTAAACTACAGTTAATAAATGTCTTTCTCCCAATATAAGTTTAAGCTGAAATATGCCAACGGTTTCATAAAATAGGTGAAAATAGAGAACAGTGATTGATTTCAATAGTACCTACAATCAATACAAATCTGTGCACAGAGCATAAAACACGGAATCACGGAAATTCCAGAGGTGCGATCGCGTGCCTAGGAGGAGTAAGCATTTCCTCTCATTTAGTTATACCCACTGTTAGCCCTATTTATTGATAAGATAGACGGAGTAGTCTGAAGTCAAATTTAGTATAAAAACAAAGGCCTACGGTGTACCTAGTGTTATGAAATATGCAAGTGAAAATACGACTCAATGATAGGTTGCTTTTTCTAACAGAGCTCTTATAACGACCTAGAATTTACGAAATGCTGACTTTAAATAAAATTGCTGATATCTCTTTAATACCAACTTATTTGTCAATAGCCTGCCTCAGTTTAAAAAAAATGATCGCACTCGGAGCATGTTCTTGAGTATCGAATAAGTTGGGAGACGCAAACACACAATATGCAAGTGATGGTGGAATTTTACTGCATAAATAAGGGAAGTTGACGATTGAAACCGATTAAACAGAGGGTTTCTAAAATTTAGTTGTTTTTTTTAACAAGAACGATTGATTACCAGTCTACATATGGTATGCATTTGGGGTACAATATCTCTGAAATCTATCCTTGCAATTTTGAAAATTAAAAACTCCCCACATTAAAAATCGTAGAAACCTCTTATTTTAACCGGTACCCATACTTCAAACATTCAATACTGTAAAGTACTGGTGATATCAAATATTCTATAGAGGTCATCAACACGTTTTAAACTACAAAGATATATATTTTATCATACTGTATAACCTCTTTTTGAGACATTGTTTTGAGATTTAAAACGAGACTGAGGAAAGTTAGCATGCTATCACCCACTTGCTTGACCATTGCTACTGGTATTTTATTGCTTATGAGTAATCATAGTTGTTTACTTCAACGCATTATTTTACATTGATTTCGAAAGAGAAATGAAGCTTAAATAAACTGAATGATTTCAAAAGAGAAATGAAGCTTAAATAAACTGAAGTGACTTAGCTACTCTACATTTTCCTTATTTATTTTTTTTACAGATGACATAGGTAGATATATTTTTGTCGACTTCACTGTCGAGGATGCACAGTTGTTTGATCTCTTAAAAAGACAGTGTCTGAATGGTGTTTATGTTGGTTTTAAATATCTCGTAGAATCTAAAGTCATACCAAGAAAGAAAAATGAAATATTTCATCAACATGATGCTCATGGGTGTACGTTATTGCATTATGCGGCTCAAGGAGGATCAATCACAATAATTGAAAAAATTCTAACAACTGACCCGGAAGCAAAACTTCAAAATGAGAGTTATCGAGGTCAAAATGCACTGCACTTTGCTATAAAATATAAACAAAAAGAGTTAAGCGAATATCTAATTACACAACACGGGAAAAAATTTATTAAAAAAAGCATGGTGGAATTCGATCATTCTAAGGTAAAGGAAGATAGAAAAATTGCAAGCAATGGCACAGGTGAATTTGAGCCATTTCACTGGATTGCGTGGAATGGAGATTTAAGGATCCTTGAAGTTTTGAAGGAGGCTGATGTTGATTTGACGAGGTTAACGAGGAATGGTCTAGGCATTTTAGACATCGCATGCATGAAGAAAGAAAACGATTTCTGTAGACACGTAATAGAAAATGAAAAACAGATAAATCTTGAGAAGGTTGACTCAAGTGGATGGAATATTTCTCATTATGCTGCTATGTCAGATAATGTGGAAGTTTTAAAACTTCTAAAAAACAAACACGAACATTTAATCAAAGCCAAAACGCACTGGAATAAAACCACTCTGCACATTGCGTGTGAATATGGATGCAGGAGTATCGTCACATACCTAATTGGCCACTTTCAGTCACTTCTTAAGAGCAAAGACGATCATGGATGGAATGCTGCACACTATGCAGCAAAAGGAGGCAATTTAGAAATTCTTAAAGAATTACTAAAAACTAAGAGAATCGAAATCGATTCGCTGACAGAAGAAGGAAAGACATTACTCCACATCGCATGCATCCATAAGCAGGTGGAGATCTGCAACTTTGTTGCTGAGAGATTTTCTCAAGATCCCAACTGGGGACTGTTAGATCTAAAAACAACAAACCATGGCTGGACCGCTGCTCATTACCTTGGCGTCGAGAGTAAAGGAGATGGAAGTGAGGCGGAAATAATTGACATGCTCCATGAACGGAAAATGAAGCTTTCAGCCACAACTAACAAGGGATATTCTATTCTAACTATAGCCATTGATCATTTAAATACACGGCTAACAAAACACATTCTTTCTAATAAGTATAGAGCAATTCTTGAAATAACCGAGAAAAGTATCAGAAAAGACAGAGAACACACGAAGAATGAACAAGTTTTGAAGATACTGGACGATGCTTTGTCAGAAATTATCAGTGACAAATAGATTTAAAACAACAACATTGAAAATATACATATAAGAAGCAAAATCTATCACTTTGAAATCATTTCCATTGTATTAAACGGCGTTTTTTTTTTAAATCTACGCATGTATCTGTCCCCTGCAGTTGGACTTTGGAATATTGAGACATATAATGAATTTATTTGCAGGCTTCCTCATCAAGCTGGATAATTGTACCGTTTCTATGAACTACAAATATTTCTGGAATTGCTATTCCACAGCGGTTCCGGCATGATTTATTGATACTTACAGCATTACTTAAAAGTGAGAATTACATGTTTAATTAAACTAATTGCAGAGTGACAATAAAAAAACTTCACAATTGGAAAGTACGTCAGCAGCAAAAGGGATACCGGTATTGTATCCTATCCTTTGCTACATTATTTTTGTAATTATTCAAAAAAAAAAATCTTGCAAATTTGACGGAGAAAAAATAGCATTATGTAAACCGCTTTCATAAATAAACGTTGTCTTTAAGGATGTCACATATGTTGGAAAAATATAAATAAAATATATTAAAGAGATTTCCTTATGAAATATATGGAGATACATTTAACGAACAGTATTCAAACTCAAAAGTCCATTAAACAATACAAAATAGGAGCAGAGCAAACACGTACCTCCAAAACATCAGAGGTGGGATCAGGTGCCATGGAGGAGTGAGCATCCTCTGCCGACCGGTCACACCCGCCGTGTGCTCCTTGTCATGATCGGGAAATAACGGAAAAATCCGTCAACAATTCAGTGTGTAAATAATGGCCTAATAATTAGTATGAAAAACGTCAGTCAGCATTTGACTCAATGATAAATTGTATTTGCTGACAAGGTCATTGTTTCGACCATAAATTTTACGAAATGATGACTTTAAACAAGATAAAACGAGAAATGCAAAACCTCCCTCTCATGATCACTGACGGGTCACTGATACATGTATGCAGATAAAATGTGGGAATCATATACCTTTTGCTGCTTATTATCCTGAATGTATTTGCTTTTAGTTTGAGATTTAATCGCTATAAGAACTGGTGATCAACCTTACTTATTTTGTTTACGTTTGTAGAAATGATTTTAATGCCTAACCGTGATATGAAGAAAAGAATTGAGCGCTTTGGATAGGAAATTTCCAGGAATCACTGACAATAAACATTAAAGGGGCCTTGACACAGTTGCATTGTTAACAATTTTAAATGTCTATTGTTATTCAAAAATAACTTCAGTTTAATAATGTGAACTTGCGTCAATATTCTAAGAATTCAATGTCGACGACATTCTTCATAACATCACGTCAAACACCTGTGCCTGTAAACAGGGCACGAGCTCTGTTATTGTTAGAGTTAACGTTTTACCGTTTGTGTTCAATTTGCTTAGTCTGTACACATCACTGAGCACGGACTGACAATACTGGTGAGTTGGTTCTGCTTTCTCGCATTTCTACTCTGAACTTTCTGGATTATAGTTTTCATATTTTTCAGTAGTAAACAACAAATTTTCTACTTTTCTTAAGTAATATGGATAAAGTTTACTTTGTGAAAGTGCAAGGTTGTGTCAATCAAACACGTCCCGAAATCTGTAGTTTTAATAATTTCCAGATAAAAGAAGTTTCTAGATATGCTTTTAATATATTTCGGTGTAAAATGCTCTAGCAACATTCAAGTCATGGTATTATTTAGAAAATATGAGCTTCAAATCTGTGTCCAAGCCCCTTTAAAGGTTGAATTAGCGAAAGGCATTTCGACGTTTGGAAACGTACAGGGTACAACAAACGTTGTTTCGTATGAATCTTGGTTTCATTTTAAAACTGCATATGACGTAAACTGCACTAGCTCCTTAAGTTAAAGTTTTTAAACAATTATTTTATTATAAAATACAATTTATTTATGTGTTTTTTTCTTTGGTTTGATAACTGGTTATTTATGAGTTTTTTTTCTCCTAGTGTATAAGTTGTGTTTTTTGGAATTTCATACTCGGTCCCAATTACATGTAACCAGATACTCATTTATTTATTACTCTTGGAATATTTTATAGCCTCTCTTCACAGGAATACATCGTATTGACTAATTTACGTTGGCTCAAACAGAGAAAAGTAAATTGGGCGAAATTAAACACATTTTTAAAAAAAAAATTTCCTGACGTTCTTGTGAAAAACTATCACACAGATTAATAGAAAATGTTTTCTCAACAGGTAAAGTATAGATTGAGGATAAAGATATTTGAAACACAAGTATTTTGACTTTTTTTAATGTACATGTATATTTAAGCATTGAATTCTTATTTTTGGATGTCGTCGGTCCTATTACAGCACCTGGCCGTGCCAACAAATTGAATGTATTACCACTTTATATCAGTTTATTTTCCACAAGCCATCCATCTGACTTGTGTTTTATACAAAATGGTATCCGCCCAAGTATTGATGGTGAGCGTGAATCCATTCTCAGTGATGTTTTGAACGAATGTATTTACTCGCACATTCTTCTGGTGATCAAAATCAAGTGTTGCAAAACCGAAGGTTACTTCAGGTTCTTTCGCAAATGGTTCACGGAACGTCACTGTTTGGACGTATGGCCACACTGGATGTTGCTGAATTTGCCCAGTAGTTTCAGCTTCATCTAAAAAGAGAGTGTTAACAGAGGAGATGGGCAAACATAGCGTACAGAAAGCCTATAGCTTCAGATATATAAAACGCATTTTTAATTTGTGAATTCAGTATTTAGAGTAAAATTCTCATTATTGAAATCTGGGAAATTTTGATCAACAAATTTTTTCTGAGGAAAATTTATTCTTTAGTTAAAAAAATAATGTGGAATTTAGGGGGTTCGAACCCTAGCAATAAAAATCCTGAGTATCATTTTCTTTCGAGACTAGCACGCTAACCACTAGACTACACAAGTCCTGATGAATAGTGGCATTTAAATCATGTTTGTGATATGACCCTTGACTTAATGGACTTCAAGTATTTCTCGAAATAATGCGAATGATATGTCATAAAAGTATATTTTTAAGGTATAGTGGGTCTTTGCCCCATATTTTTGGAAACCAAAAAAATTATATTTTTATGCAAACTTTGAGGATTAACTCTCAAAATAATGGAGCGAAGACCCACTCATATCAAAAAATAGTGTTATAGTATGAGAAAATGACTCTTTTTGCCCTCTTAAGTGTGTGTACAATATTTCATAGGCAAATAATTTCAAACTTTGTGAATTTTTTGTAAATTGTAGAGATTTTACATAAAGTATATTTCAATGTTAGATGAAATCTCGAGAAAAATTTTGATATAATTAAGATTTAATTTTTCACCTTCATATTTGTCACACTATAGGCTTTTCGCTCGTCATGTTCACCCATCTTTTTTAGAAAATGTTTATGAAACATAAAGCGCAATTCTATTGTAAATGTGCATTCACGGTTTGCAAACTTTTGATGATTACCGGGTTGTAAATATTTAATATTTTATCAAAGTTGGAGCTATTTGGAAAGAAAGAAAACCCCTAGTAGTGATTACGAATGAAAATTAAATCAAATTATTTCCAATAAAATCATTTAATGAAAGCTTCAAAAGATAACGAAAATAATTTTTTAAAGACTGTATCATTAAAAAAATACGAAAGCCGGATAGGCTCATTTTTGACAAGATACAAAAAAATTAACTCGTTATAACGAGATAGTTATCTCGTTATAACGAGTTAGTATCTCGTTATAACGAGTTAGTTATCTCGTTATAACGAGTTAGTTATCTCGTTATAACGAGTTAGTATCTCGTTATAACGAGATAATTATCTCGTTATAACGAGTTAGTATCTCGTTATAACGAGTTAGTTATCTCGTTAAAACGAGTTAGTTATCTCGTTATAACGAGTTAGTATCTTGTTATAACGAGATAATTATCTCGTTAAAACGAGTTAGTTATCTCGTTAAAACGAGTTAGTTATCTCGTTATAACGAGTTAGTTATCTCGTTATAACGAGATAATTATCTCGTTATAACGAGATAATTATCTCGTTATAACGAGATAATTATCTCGTTATAACGAGATAATTATCTCGTTATAACGAGATAATTATCTCGTTATAACGAGACAGTTTTCTTGTTATTTCGAGACTTAATAGCAATATAGGAATAAAAATGGCTGCAGTTTTAAATGCCGTTGAATTTTTAGCAAGTAATTATCAGTCAAATTTAACTTGAACAATTGATAAATGGTTGAAAATTTAATTTGCTCTGGGGTTTACTCATGAATAAATCTTGAACTATCTCGCTGTCAATAATCATAGCAACTCTAAGGCGAACACTTTTTCACATTTTTGTGAACTCCTCCTCAAATTGTTGCATTAGGACGCGATATTTTTCTTAAAATAATATTGCCAAACATACTTGCTTCAAACTTTAGCAATTTATTTATGACAACTATTTCTGATGAATGACACTATTTCGATATGTTTTGGACGACTTACCGGTATACAGTTTCATATATCAATTTCATTAAATATCAGAGACAATATAAGTGCAACATATCGTTTATGCAACATATAATATATAGATTACAGTGTTATACATATGTTACTTCTGAGATTCAGAAATGTTTTGAAGACGGGGGATGGTGAGACATCAGCAGTTAGATCATAGGCGTAGTAATAGAGGGGCTAATGTCCACACCACCACTTTTGAAAAGGGGGCGGTCAAGAGTATCTTTGTGCCCCTTCCTCCATATTTTTTTTACCTGAGTAAATATCTCCCGAAAATAATGGCGAATACTCGTAGTTGGAATATCAAATCTATTTTTTTTTCTTTTTATTTGTCAAATATTTTACTTGGTTTACCCCCCCCCCCTTTGAACTTCGTGACTTATGCATATTGTCCACGATAATGAGGAATGGGGAAGCAAAAATGATATTACATCCTTTTAAGTAATAAGACGTTAAATCTGATCTGCTGATATTGACATTTTATCTAATATTCTGTCATGATACAGTTTATATTTTTTGCGGGTGGGGGGGGGGAGGGGGGGGGGTCCAAGTTGTGGAGATTCACGGAGACCTATTTGAGATTCACGTCTATTTGGCTGATCCTATATGTTTACCACATAGTGTCAGAACGTCAAACCAGAGTTTACAAAACAAAAAAAAGTTTACAGAGTTTACAAAGCCAGTTCACTTTTATAATCTTTTTACTTAGGATTGATCAACGAATAGGCCTAATACTACATATGTATGTTTATATTATTAATACAACATTGAAGCAATGTCGTTAATTATTTTCCTCATCACAATATCTATTATGTATACTTTACAAGCATATAATTTTTATTTCAAAAAGAGATTGATGATTTTTTTTTTTGGGGGGGGGGTAATAAATAGAGGATATTCAATGTTTTGTAGTTGATATGGAATTTATTTCACGAGTGGGACAGGAATTTTTTTTATATTTTCATGAGTGCGAAGCACGAGTGAAAATATAAAAAATCCTGTCTCAACATACAATACACATTTCTTGGCAAAATTTATGCTTGAAATACACCTTAAGTAAT